CAAAAGCATATTGATAATCAATTTTGTGAGAAAGTATTACGATACATCACCAAATCAATATATTGTCACACTCCTAGTTGAGACTGTGAAGCGTTGAGGAGTAACCAAAGTTGGATGGCAGATATAGGGCAGGGCGATATGGCCAAACATTATATTACGATGTGAGAAGGAAACATCACAATAACGATCACTCACAAAAATAGCGCTGGGGAAAATCTTCCAAACTGCTTAGTGCTCTCAAAACTGTTTGGCTCTATCACTAGTATTCACACACATATCATTTTGAGCTTATCAGACAGGAAATTTAAAAAGAGAGGATAATCTGCACTCAGCCAATCAGCTCTCAGTTAAAGAAAAACATCTTTTTAGGATAAATACTGCAGGTTGTGGTCTTACAAGACTCTTTCTGTTGGGTCAAACAAGTGGATCTAACACATGTACATTTTGTAAAACTTTACACAAAATCTTAGTGCTGGATAATCATGGATCATTATTATTATTAATGTTGTGCATTACAATCCGCACATGATTTATTTGTATTGTTTCACTGCATGTTGGTTGCGCAGGAGCCAATGGTGTCTGTCCTTTGGGGGAAACTTAACCTCACTACATACAACAGGACCAAGCCCATCAGCAAAACCATGTACAGTATTTGATGTATTGAGAGCTAGCATAACAACATTAAATGTACAATCTCAAATATATCCAATTTTTTCAATATGTTGCTTTTTTGGCTTTCTCGGCTAAAATAGTTCCCAACCCCTGGTCTGCTGCCTCCAGTTAACTTACATTTTTCCAGCTAACCTATCAGACCCTTCCAGGGCTCATGCCGGCTTTCCCTCATAGTCATCTTTGTGTATGTAACCATCTGACTTTGCAGAGAGTAATAAAAAGCTGCTCCTGGGGTCTTTCTTTAAAACAGAACAGTGTGAGTAGTCCAAAAATGAATACCGAGTGAGTGGAAAAGCTTTCATCACCACTAGACAATTCAACACTTAGAATGAAACAAAAGACTTAATTCAATTTCTAAATAAAACCTTGTCAACTCTGAAATTAAACACCACTTGTTTTGCACAATTCGAGCAGTGGCTAAAATAGCACATGCACTCAGTGGTTTTGTAACCCGGCTTTTGTGGGTGCATTAGCATATTTTAATTTGTTTACACAGAGGAGAGCGTGTTTGTGCTGGTAAATATGTGGACAGATGGGTGCTATAAATGGGAGGGAGGTGTTAGGATGAATAAGGGCGGCACAGTGGTCTTTACTGGGTGACCCTCCGAACGCCATGGGGAGGAACAGGAAGAGGGAAGACATGCTTCACAAAACTGGCAGCCCTCACCCTTTCTGTCCCCCAGCATCTTTGTCCTTGTGCAAAAATAGAACGCAAAAAGAAGAAAAGGAGGGATACAGTTGGTGCAGATTGTTCATGCCTTTGTTTGTTTGTGTTGAGTTGCTTTTTGTCTTTATTGTGTTTTTGAATGTGATGTTTAAGCTGGAGTGTGGGTATACTGATTTCATTATGTTATTATTTTATATTATTCATACAATATCTCTGATTGGTTTAAAACACCTGTCACTCACTGGAAGTATACAAACAGAGATTTTTCTAAACTGTTTCCCAAAATGGAAGAAAAATATAGATATTGGTATGTCTATTGCTGTGCATCTTAAGAAGATATTTTAAAAGCCTCAAAAAATGTCCCGATTGAAGAGAATTGTTAACCATTGATAAGATTGTTGGTGAAATGCAAGGCACAATGTAGATTTTAATTGTGAAACAATATGATTCAGAGTTGCACTATTGAAATGATAAAACTCTTCATAACTAATTAGTAAAGTTTGCAGAGGTAAGGCCACCAGGGGGATAATATTTCAAGTTTTCAAGTTTTCAAAAATTCAGGAAAGTACGTGCTTCAAAGGCGGCCCAAGGTTCGATTCCACCCCCGGGCCTTTCTATTTGGGGTTTGCATGTTCTCCCCTTCTTTTTGTAGGTTCCCTCTGAGTTTCCCCTACCAAGGGTGAATGAATGTGTTTGTGAGTGTGACTGTGGGACAAAGGATACAAATTAGCCCAAGGCTTCACTCTGGAGAGGTGTAGCCTTGGGCACAGTCTCAACCACTGTCCCAACCAAATAAACAATAAATAAATAAATACACTGTTTTGATAAAAAATAGTAAGTAAAAATCTTCTACAGCTGTGATCTAGAGGAATAGCCAGTTTCAGTGAGGTTCAGTGAGGATCTTTGAATGATCCAATGTTGTCCTAAATGACTGATGATGATAAATAGAATGCACCTGTGTGTAATCATCAAGTCTCCGTATAAATGCACCTGCTCTTTGATAGTCTCAGGGTTCTGTTTAAAGCACAGAGAGAACCATGAAGACAAAGGAACACACCAGGCAGGTCTGAGATACTGTTGTAGAGAAGTTTTGGATACAAAAAGATTTCCCAAGCTTTAAACATCTCAAGGAGCACTGTGCAAGCAATTATATTGAAATGGAAGGAGTATCAGATCACTGCAAATCTACCAAGACCCGGCCGTCCCTCCAAACTTTCATCTCAAACAAGGAGAAGACTGATCAGAGATGCAGCCAAGAGGCCCATGATCACTCTGGATGAACTGCAGATAACTACAGCTGAGGTGGGAGAGTCTGTCCATAGGATAACAATCAGTCGTGATCTGGGGCCGTATTCCTAAAGATTCTTACTGCTAAAAGTTGCTCCTAGTGGCCAAATTCTAAGAATTTTCTTAGAATCTTGACCAACTCTTAGAATTTCCCCTAAAAGTGAGGAGTAGCTCCTAGTTAAGATAAAAGCTATTCCTAAAAAATCCTAGCTCTTAAGAGTGCTCTTAAGGGGAGATCCCTTAAGAGTTCAGAGGAGGACTTTTAGCGACTTAAAAGTTCCCTAAGAGCACAAAATGGTGGACGGTGGAGACAGGAGAAATATTCTATACACTGGATGACAGTGAATCAGTGAAACGCTACAGATTCAAGCAGGAATCATGTTTGTGGCATATTTAAAAGTCAATCATGTGACCAGCTTCTTATTGGCTGGTCAGCAATAACACCTCATCCATTTTACCTTTGTTACACAAAAGTAAGTAGAAATGGTAAAAGTTGAAAGAGAGGAAAAAGTGGTCCTAAATTGTCACACATTCAGTACGAATGAATGAATACTTTATTTTGAGCCATGGCAAACAAGAAAAAAAAGGACAAAACAAACAAAACAACAACAGAATAGAAGTACAAATATACAGTTTTGTTTTATTAACAACAATCCAGCTCAAAAAGGAGTGGGAGATATATATATATAAAATTATAAGTGCTCATGATATATACGTATTATGTGTGATAAATTGGTGCTGAGCAAGCTCTGATGATGGTGTATAAGTCTAACTTTACTATTCACAGTATTTATGTACCATTGATATATCTGACTTTATAGCTTTTGGTTATTATTTACAATAACACAGTGTTCCTAAGATTAGATTCCATGATTGAGTTTGTCCATTTTAGGGCCCTTATTTTGCCTATTATCATCAAAAATATGTTTGTTCTAACTTTTAGGATCAACCAATCACAGCGTCTGAAATGATGACTCATACCTAGCAACGGGGTCGGCCACGCCTCCTCACTAAGATAAAAGTTGTTGTCAATTCCTTGCTCAGAGTTCTCTAAGAGTGTTCTGGAATAACTTTTAAGCTAAGACTCCTAGCTAGGAGTTTTTAGGTTAAGATAAGAGCTCTCTGAGAGGACTCTCAGAATCTTTAGGAATACGGCCCCTGGCCTTTATGGAAGAGTGGCAAGAAGAAAGCCATTTCTCAAAGATATCCATAAAAAGTCTGGTTTAAAGTTTGCCACAAGCCACCTGGGAGACACACCAAACATGTGGAAGAAGGTGCTCTGGTCAGATGAAACCAAAATCAAACTTTTTGGCCACAATGCAAAACAATATGTTTGGCGTAAAAGTAACACAGCTCATCACCCTGAACACACCATCCCCACTGTCAAACTTGGTGGGGGCAGCATCATGGTTTGGGCCTGCTTTTCTTCAGCAGGGACAGGGAAGATGGCTAAAATTGATGGGAAGATGGATGGAGCCAAATACAGGACCATTCTGGAAGAAAACCTGTTGGAGTCTGCAAAAGACCTGAGACTGGGACGGAGATTTATCTTCCAACAGGACAATGATCCAAAACATAAAGCCAAATCTACAATGGAATGGTTCACAAATAGACGTATCCAGGTGTTAGAATGGCCAAGTCAAAGTCCAGACCTGAATCCAATCGAGAATCTGTGGAAAGAGCTGAAGACTGCTGTTCACAAACACTCTCCATCCAACCTCACTGAGCTCGAGCTGTTTTGCAAGGAAGAATGGGAAAGAATTCCAGTCTCTTGATGTGCAAAACTGAGACATACCCCAAGCGACTTGCAGCAAAAGGTGGCGCTACAAAGTATTAGCGCAAGGGGGCCGAATAATATTGCACGCCCCACTTTTCAGTTTTTTATTTGTTAAAAAAGTTTAAATTATCCAATAAATTTTGTTCCACTTCACGATTGTGTCCCACTTGTTGATTCTTGACAAAAAAATGTAATTTTTATATCTTTATGTTTGAAGCCTGAAATGTGGCGAAATGTTGAAAGGTTCACGGGGGCCGAATACTTTCGCAAGGCACTGTATATACTTTATAGATCTCACAAAGGAGAAATCTACATACAGTTACAGATTAAAGTTACTGTACTACTAATCTCGGGTTACAAATTTCTACGTCAAGATTTGAGTCTAATCTGAGTTTGGTTTGTCATTCTAAAAATTCACTGCTCCTTGATCCTAGGCCTTTTCATTCATTTTAACTAAAAAAACAAACATAAATTAATGAAATAAATACCTGTGCCATGGTGGTCCTGCACTGTTTTCAAGTGTAGACAAGCTGTCATCTCCAAAAGCTCCCAGTTCACCAGTTACCCACTCGGGAAGATTTGAGTGGCTTTTAGTATTCACTGGTTCATCAAAGTAAATGGACTAAGAGGAAGAAAAAAAAAAAAATTAATTCAGAAAATGTGGCAAGAAAGTATACTATCACTGTTTCATAAACAATGTTTGGGGTACTGATCAGTTCAACTATCTCCAAGAGTTAGTATCAACCACGAATCAATCAATGCAGAACGAAGTCGTGTTATTACCATGTAAGTAGGTAGTGTTTTGAGGGTTCCTGGTTCTGGGTTATGGGTAAAGGGCCGATCCAGGGTCCCCCTTTTGAGCATCTGAAGCAACAATCGGGCATACACATTTCTGTTTTTCCGACCCAGCAGACCAGAACCACACGCGCCTGGGTCACACAGTTTTTTAATCCAGATGGCACAGTACTGACGCCCTTTGGGAGGTAAAAAAGACAAGGGGGGAAACAAGTTGTCAATGGATGCTAACTAACATACCAGTAGCAATGCAGACACACATTAGCGTTACCTTTCTTATCTGGGTGTTTAAGCACATAGGGCTTCATGTCCAGTAAACAGTGGTCAAACTCTGTGTCCAGCCTTTCCCATGAATCTTCATGATTGCTCATTGTTACTGCTCCAGCTACTAGCATCTCACTTTATTAGTTACTTAACTAGCTAGCATTATCACATACTAGCATCGTGCTGTATCTTGCGGTGCTCGAAAAGCTACCATGCGTTCGTCAGACGCGGATAATAGATTAGAAAAATAAATAATATATTAACATCGAGATACTTTCAGTGCGTTGCCATCTCAACTTCAGACTTCGCTGCAAATGTGTTCAAAAGCGCGTTACGTCCTGCGTCATATCCGCTGTCTGTGAAACGCAGCGTCCGTTGTTGCTATGGTGACGCAATGTAAAGGTACAACTGCATTTTACTCACGTTTATATATTTGTCGCCAATTTAGAGAATATTAACATAAAACTCCTGGATATTTCAAATATTCAAATAGAGATGTATCCCTCTCAGAGTCAATTTAAATATGCTGGGATGAACTTGGACAAGTTTAAATGATCGTCACACTCCAGAAATAGCCCACACATGTTTAACAAATGAATAAGGATTTCCTCTTGGGAGCTTTTTGCTTTATTCCTAAACATGTAGAGTTAGGACCCTAAATATCTTTCCCAGGAACATTTATCCATGACTATTATGCAGTCCATCATATTTACCACATAACATGTTGGTAAAGAGAAAGATTTTTTTCCCTTAACAGGGTCCAAAGACTGATCGGTTTGAATTTTTTACCGAATTTGAGATGTTGAAATTATACATAATTCACACTGGAGAGAAATAGCCCATACCAGTGATAAAACACAGTAACAAGAATGAGCTGCGACCAAAGCCGAACAAAATCTATTAAAAGATTTTTGTCCATATTGTAATGTGCCATAGTAGCCACAAGGTGGAGCCCGTACGCCATAGTTATTTGAGAAGATTTGACAAGATTCGTTTTATTTTTAAATAAACCCTAATTAGTTTGAATGATCAAGCGATTAATCACGATTAGAGACAAGTGAGGGCTGAAGAAACAACTACAAATATAACATGTAGAATTAAAAATGTTCCATATATATATATACACACAGTTGTATTTTGGCAAACATTTATGACAGGTCAATTCAAACATCGACACATGTTGTGCAGACTTTGGTTGTAAATACAATCGAGCTGTTGAGCACACGTCACAATCTGAACATTTCCATAGCTCCCAAACTATCATGGAGTGACGTCAGTGAGTGAAAAAGAAGCGCACAAGTCGCGGTCCAGGCAAAAGAGGCTGAGGTGCGCGGTCCGACAGCATCAGCAGCAGCAGCAGCGGCAGAGGGCTCTGGACACCCCACACACACACAAACCAGCCGGGACATCACCCGCTGTACTACTCTTTTATTATGGCTGACCATCTTTTACATTATAGTGACTCTGCTAGTGTTGGGAACAGGTTCGCGCGTAAAGGTGCTTTGCGGCAGAAAAATGTCCATGAAGTGAAAAACCACAAATTTACAGCAAGATTTTTTAAACAGCCAACGTTCTGCAGCCACTGTACAGATTTCATATGGTAAGCGCTTGAGACAGCCAGAGAAAGGGGATTGCTTCAGAATTTTAGCTGGTCTTGGGCTAGTTTCCTCAACTGACGCGTGTGCTGTTTTTTGCAGGGGATTTGGGAAGCAAGGATTTCAATGCCAAGGTATGAAAGCTCACTTTGTTTGAAAAACCTTGAAATGTTCCTTTACTGTTATTGTATACATCACAGTTGAAACAAGTTTAGGAAGAACTTTTTTATTTGCATCTTATATTTTTACATGCGTTATCAATGACAGATTTTGGCACGAGTTGGCGGTGTTATTTGTCAATCACCTGGATTATAGGGCATTTTAGAAGAAAGTAAAGTTTTCTCAAATGACTGTTTCTTGCCTGCACGACATATCCTGGAACGGCTAGTCTCGTCTGTCTCCAGGGTTTGGCCTGAGTGCTGAGGTCTTCTCTTGGGGGCATCTGATGTCTGTTGTGCACTGAACCATAGTTTGTTTGAGACCCCTGGCTTTGCCCATCAGGGGCGTTTGCGGTCTGGGTGTTTGTTGTATAGGCTGCTGGGAATCTTTGTGGCCCATTACTCCCAGGTCTATAAAAAGCACCTCTGTAATTGTCAAGGGGTTGACCAAAGTGGTTTCTCAAGTAAAATCTTCTGTTATCCCCTTGTCCAAAGCCACTTGTGTGAGCTCCTGCACTATAAAAAGAACTTGAGAACACTGGATGCCAACTGTGCCAAACATATGGAGGTGGATGTGAGGAGCTCTGAGGGAGTAGCTTTTTATGATGCAACATACTTTCTGACTGTTGATGCCATTGATTAGGATTTAAAGAGGTGGGTTTTCCATGTGAATTCTGATCCTTTTCATTGGATGCCTCAGGAAGCTGGTACAAAGGTGGGAAGTCTTCAGTAGGTTTGACAGGATAGTGGTCATCAAGTTCCAATTCAGAAAATCTGGTCTGATCATCATCCTCAACTCTTAGATTAGTGTTGTCCGGTTTATATCTATTTCCATACACTGAGGGAAAAGTGAACAATTTACTGATTTGCAGAAGTGCATGGAAAGTAGGGTACTTACGAATTTCAGAAGTTATTCGTCCTATATTGCCAAGAATCAGCAATACAATGATCATGAAAATCCTGGCAGGAAGACAAAAACAAAATTCAAAAAACAAAAGTTAAGTGCTATAGCAGTAATTTATTAGAACATTTTATATCACTGTCACTCAATTTGCTTTAACTGTTACTCAAGTCATCATAATAGCGTGCAAGTATTCAAATGTGTAGGTGAAGGTGTTTGGTAGATATAATACATTTCTGAAGTATGTGCAGTTATACTGACACACAAAAGCACAAGCCATATCCATCCACTGTGGTTTGTGACCTTGATACTCATAATTCAATCTATTCAGCCTGAACTCCAACACATAAGTTGTCTATGTAGTTAATATAAAATAGGGTTGCTTGATAATGGCACTATGTTTAAAAGTTAATTGAAATGGCCTAATTGAAATTGTTTGTGAAGTTAATCAAAAACCAGTGTAAAAAGCACAAATGACATACTGTAAAAACCTGTTCGGCGCCATGTTTGTGTATCTGGTCGCAGAATGAGCCTGGAGAATCAATGCTGCGTCCGTTGTGGGCTTTTATACATGCTCATGCTGTCATCACACCCAGCTGTCACAATCAAGTCAAATCATTGGCAGGTGTGGCTCTGCATCTTCACAAAACACATTTTTTTCCACATAATCCCAAAGACTGATTTCCCCCCAAAGGATTTCATATTCTCTCTCTTTCTGTATTTATGAGACGAGTGTAAGACATGAAACCCACACCGTCCCCAGCCTTGTGTGGACATCGGATACGATCCCAGTGAAAGGAGAGCCAGCATGTCAGCCAGAAAGCTCAAAGAATAAAAGCATTTGTACTTCAGACAGCCGGGAATAAGAAGGCATGTGTAGTTTGAGTCAAAATAATGCATTGGAAATTAAGACTTAAGCACAAAAATCCTTGAAAACATAGTATCATGTGTATGTAAATTCCCATACTCAAATGATATGTTTTGGCATGGTGGCTGAGTGGTTATAGTGCTGTCGCTTTTCTGCAAGAAGGTCCAGGGCTTGACTCCCGGGTGGCACAGAGACTTTCTAAGTGGGTTTGCATGTTCTCCCTGTGGTGTAGATTTTCTCTAGGTACTTTTGGATCCACCTACTGTATAGCATGCAGGCTTTTACAATAGACCCCCCTCTTGAACTATCCTGGTTAAAGTGAAGTCATTTGCTGTATTTTAATCGCTGATCAAATGAACCGCATGAACCAATGTCATTAGAGTAATCCCTCTGTCACTGACCCTAAATCTAAATGAACGGCTGAAATGTGATCTGTGTGTCTAGGCTGCAGTTCACGTAAAACATAAATAGGAAATGTCTCTGTCTTACTGTACTGTCTTCTGTTTAAGCATTCCTGTGGGTTCAGGGGCTGGTGTCATGCTGCAGGTTTGTGTTTCAAAGGATGTTCTACAACAGTGAGAGGCTGCTGCTTTAATTAACTCCACACCGGAATGTATGTCCCAATGAGCAGTGGCACTTTCCAATAGTGAATAAACAATGAGATGTCTGGGCATGATGGTGGCATGAAGTGTTGCATATTTGATGATTTGATGACGGAAAGTTATTAGATTTAGTGATGTACTGGTGTCAGATGGAGGCACAGGCGTGTTGATTCTTCCCAAGTACTGTGGATACTTGTAGGACAAATAAGATAACCCCAAAGACTTTGTTATTGACTGCAGCACTGATTAAAAGTAGACCCTCTAAATGACCCAGGGCTGGTTAAGACAAAAGTATTTGTTAATCACTGTGGCGGATCAATTTGACCCATGTGTGCTCTGACACCAGTCTTTTATGGGTACTGGCAGATACTTACAAAAACTGAAATATTAGAAGTGAAAAGTTAGATTGCTGCATCATGATTAGGGCATAGCTTTTTTAGGAATTATGTTTTGAGTATTTTGCTTTAATTTTGAAGAACAACCTTTTCAGAATCAGAATCATTTTTATTGCCACGTAAGTAACAAACAAAAGTTACTGAATAGTTAATCCAATACCAAAATATACATGCCATACATGAAGGCTATGATTTTGTCTCAGCCAAGATAAACAGGACTATATATGAAATACAGTTGTGATTGACACAGTTTTATCTATAATAATAATAATGTTGTAATGTCGTCATGCTGACATCAGATCCGGAAATAACAGAATTGAAAGGCTCTTCCCTTTACAGAAATTTATTATCTATTTCCCAACCTCCACAACACAACAGTGAACAGCTAAAAGTAGTGCGTTGCTCCCGGAAACGTCTTTATTACCAAAGTGGCTGTGTGGGAGGAGGAGATTGCCTGTACATTTCCAAGGTGACAAGTCCATAAAGAAAATGGTTCTCCCTTGGTCATTATGTAGGATGTAGGTATGGTATGTCCTGAGGCTCAAGCTGCTGTGCAAAGAATCAAACATATTATTAAGGCCAAGCTCAAGGTGAATTATTTATGAAGAATATTAATCAGAAAACTGTACATTTCAGTTTAAAGTCTGTATTTGAATAATAGAGAGTTTTATCGCGTCCCTGTGTTTTGAAGTTACATTGAATTGGACACTTATAACTGATAGTAAGACTTTTCATTACATTTTTATATATAATTTCTGTTTTTTATGAGATCAGTAAAAACGTTGTACACAGTAACATATTTAGTATATTAATTGGGCAGTCTATTTACAAAAATATATTAACTTTTCCCAACCATTAAAAAGGCATCCTCCTGCCAACAATTTTACATAGGTTTAAGAAAAACATTGCAACAGTATTAAAATTCAATTAAAATAGTTCTGTCAATAATTCTTTATCAGTGAAATAGTGATACATTAAATTATCAATGTTACTGTTATTTTTTATAAATCTATATCTTGTCGAGCTTTTGCACATCCTGGGCTAAACCCCCGACCAATCCAACAGACCAAAGGGAACCACTTATCTCACCAACTGACATAAAAAGAAAAACAATGGCAATGGCATCCTGGTCAACCAAAAGATTTCAACAAATTGTGGAATATTTGGTTTTAAGGCAGAAAAAAACATCACATTTGCATTAACTCATTGCCATTTGTATTAACTGACTGCCATTGACGTATTTGTCTGAGACCCTCTTTTCGACTGGAGATTACAGGACAATAAAAATAGCTAGAAACAGTCTTATTTTTGCTGATCAAAGTAGACAATCCAGACATTCAGAATCTGGTTTTGTATTTCACATGTTCTGAGGAAATAATATTCTTGAGAATCAGTGAAATCATCAAAAACTGCTGGCAGCCAATGAGTTAATAGCAATATTGTTTTCAAGTTGCATTAGTTGTTTTGCAGTTAAAGTGGGTCAGAAACACAAAACTGTCATAGTTTTGAGAATGGTTGTTATGCGTTGTTCATTGTCGAGTAATGTCTTTAGTCGACCTTGCATTTCTTTGACCTGTTTTCTACTACCTTATAAAACAACTCGAGCACAAACGCTTTTGCAGGTAAAATACAGTATGAATCTAAGGTGGTCAAATGTACGACCAGATGCCACACATCCCTGTGCTGCGTCAGGGCGTCTCATTGAAGCCCCCCCACACCCCTCTCCCATCTCTCCCATCTCTCCGTCCAACTTTCTCCGCCTTTGATGGTCAACGTCTGTGTAGATGTCAGTGCCATCTGGAGATCTGGAAAGCCACGACCTGGTAGTAGCACGTCTCGCCTCCCTCTTCAGGACACCGCAGAAGAGGGAGGGCATGGAGAGAGCAAAGGGAGTATGGCTATAGGCTGACGCAACAGTGGAGGCTGAATAAATGGTTTGCAGTTGTGAGTTTCTGTAATAAACAGTTCTCAGTTGTTTAATTTGAAGGCGAAAGTGTAGCTCTTCAAAGCAGATATCTGTGAGGCCTCTTTATGTGGACAGAGAGTGCATTCAAGCTGCAAAATGAAGTAGCGTCTAATTTTGTACAACATGTAAATGAATGGACATTAATCACATAAGAATACTGGAATAAGATGATGTGTGGGTGAATCAAACCTTTTTAAACTCATTCAATGCTGTCGATTCTACTGCATTTAGAGTTGTGTTTATTTTGTAATGCTGCATTATGTTATGATTATGACTGACTCGGTAGGTGTAGGCTGTTGCACCACTCTTTGGTACATTTGCTGCCCCCTATGGGTGCCATCATGCGTGTGTCAGTTCTCGTGATGAGAGCTGACACATGCCTCCCAACCAGACCGTCTGAGTGCCCTAATAACTAACAGTGTGGGTGCAGAGCTGCTTCCTCCACAAGTAACGGAGCAATCACTAGCTAATCAGAGAGCCTTGGCTGTGCGGGGGTGAAGCAACATGAGCGCTAAAGGGGACCCCTAAACACTTGGTACTTTAGACAAAGTGAAACTCTCATCTGCTGGAGGGTCCTTGCCTCCTCATATGGAAAGTTGATCATTTTTTGCTGGCTAGTGTGGCTACATTAGCGTTTGGTTTACTTAACATTTTCTTTTAAGGATGTGGGTGTCTTTCTGTTGTACTGCCAAATGTATTAGACATCAACAATCTTTTAAGCAACACAAAATGTCACATATTTAATTTAGTTTTAAATTGCAAGATAATATGTATGTGTCTCCAATGTGCAGGCAAACATTCATTCATTCATTGAAGCTTGAATATACAATATATTAGTACTTTTAGTCTAGTGTCTACTACCAGTGTGATACTAGTTAAGATATCAAAGTCCTGTTACTAAGTATCAGAAAAGGTTCATGGACCATGTGTCTTGTTTTTCTGTAGATCTGCATTAAAGTATTTCTATTCTTCGACACATAGGTGGCTGCCTCTTATTCTATCATAACAAGATTTTAATTAGCATTCATCTTGTGACAACTGCTATGGGCAAAATGATTATCTATCCCATCACACTCATCGCATATGACATGAGTGCCAAAGAAAGTATTCACACAATTAAGCTTTTCTTACGCTTTCCAGTTATAAGGAGGCAAATGGAAAAAGTAAAGGTTAGTTTAGTCATGTGTTTTGTTTGCACTCATGGAAGACTAAGCGCGCCACAGCCTGTTTCACAATCATAATGCTGTTTGTAAAACTCATGGCCGTGATCACGGTAAAGCCAAACCTAATATTCCAGATCAGAACTAACTCAGGTCTGAACCAGAACTGAACCAGGTCGAAATGAGGACTGGATAAGGTCTGAACTATGTCTGACATAATAAGAGGCACATAGAGGTGCACCCAGCAGTCCAGAATAGTTCTGAATAAGTCTTCTCAGTACATGTATTGCCTTTTGTTTTGAACACTAATTACATGATTATTATTACTTTTTTTCTTATCCATAGCTACTTTCATGTTATGCTAGCTTTCCGAGGTTACTATAGTAACAGCACTTGGCCCTGGCTCATTGACAAAGCTTTGCCAACTATTATACCCCAAACAATTCTGTGTAAAACCGCCCAAATCTCTTCATCCTTTTGTTTGTTAATAGCCCTTAAATGAGAATCCAAAAGAGGCATTTGGCATCATCTTTCGAGTTTCTAAGCTTATTCAAATCCACTTAGATTTGTATTTTGGGATAGTAGTTTATAAATACAACTAGTATTTTTGAATGTATAACTTTAAATGCCCTTTCATGCAAGTGCAACATTTTATTTAGCACTTGCAAATATTTGGATTTGAACAGACTGTCTCTGCAGATCATGTCACAATGTTTTTGCATGTATGACACAATGTCATCTGGTGACATTAAAATGGGGTTCTTTTTCTGAGGCTTTGGTGGCATTACTCAGCTCAGAGTGGGTAGCTAATTGAGGCAGCTCTGTGTGTTTGCTGAGACACAATGCAATATGATAATTTGACACATCATTTCAGTTTCTCACAAACCAGGGCAAAAGAGCAGTGACAATGGACTTGGAGAGAGACAAGTACATGGGCTGGCTGCAAGGAGGTTGTTTCTAAATGCATGTGTGGCGTCTATCATTTGTGCTGTGTGTGTGTAAACAGTAATAGAGAGTGGCAGGAGCTGCTAAAGGAAGTCCAAAAATGGCATCAGGAAGAGAGTTTTCAGAACAAAACAGTCCTGATGTAATTTCTACTATACGAACTGTCGCCTCTTTTGTGAATAAGGTAAATGATCATTAGATTAATTAAAGATCAATGCGTTTCTAAATATTTGTATGTAAATAACAACTCCAAACCTCATTGGTGATATATGGTAGATTTACTATATACAGTGCAGTTAAAAAGTATATTCTCACAGTAGTAGTAAGGCTGAAAATTAACATTTCGATAAAATGCATTTGAGAATTTTTGAGTTCTTTTTCAACAGAAAAAATCTATTATAACATACATTGTGAATTTAATTACAGCCCCTCTGTAAAAAAATATATTTTGACCGAAGAGAATAAATGCTGTTAGAATTTTATATTTTTTAGAAGAATTTAATACATTGAAAGTTAATATTAATAATTATGAATACAATATATTTTCTATTTGCTATTTCAATAAGAGTTTTACCTCTTTCAATAGAATTCAGCCCTACACAAGACTTTTTTTTGACACTTCTTAAATAGAGATTTGAATATAATTTTCAGTAGTAATATAACATATGAAAATGGTGATTTGTATGTTCTATTATCATTACATCTGCGTCCAATCATAACAGGTCAACATGTACAAATCATATTTAGCCTCTTCTGAACACACGTTTAAACTTAATTTGTTTTTCTTAATTAAAAATCCCATGGACATAATCTCCAATATATGTATGTTTATAGTTTTTAAGTAGATTTTCCAATCAGAGAGCAGAATGAGTCTTTCATTCTGCGTGGCCAGTATGTAGCATTTAGGTGGCTTTGTAATTATAATGACTTTATTGCACTTTTATTAAAGTATAATTCCTGACCATATACAGAATGATGAAGGCCTGGCTCTTTTGTTTACTTTTTTAAATGTTTCAATCAATCTCTAAGGCTCTTATCTACCTGGCCCTCTGTCAGCGTTATCGGTTCCATTGGGGCATTAAACGTGGCAGTTGGTGGGATTACCCCTCTGACCTCGGCAACTGTGGCATCATACATGTGTTGTACTTCATCAATCTCAAGCTGTGATAGCAGTTGCCGTTTGTGGATGTTGGAGCATTGAGCTACCAGTTGTTTCGGGGTCAACTGTGACTGTGGGTTTCGAAGTAACCATTCAGCCCACATTCTCTGCATATAACCTCTTTGGCCAGGGTTACTCGAGTAGTAGCATTCCAACAGAGCCCTGTTATCGCATCTCGTCCACTTTCGCCTTGTTCCAGTAGCCCACTTTTCATCAAGGTGCTCTGGTTCCCCAGCACCTGACGCAGACCTTGTTTGTGAGCCACCATTCCTGAGGAGAGTCCTCTATGCCAATGAGAGGCTCTCCCTTGTAGCGCTCCAGACATTTCTCAATACTGTCCTCCTCTTCATCAGACGAAGACTCTGGTGCAAGCAAGAGAGCTGGTTTCTTCGTGGCCGGCTCAGGTGTGACTTGGTTATCGGGCTGTGCAGGCTTCTCCTTCTCCATCTCCTGGAGCAAGGCGCGGACTGAATCCCACACCTGAACCCTGTCAGGTTTGCTTAGGCACTTGAGATCCTTAAACCTTGAAATGAAATTATATTAAATTAAACTTTATCATTATGCAAGTACAGGTATAACAAAACTGTGACAGTACCCCTATTTCTATTATGCCAAATTTAAAATCGAAAAGTAAAAAAGGAAGTAAAAAGAAGCAACCCAAAACTAACAGACTAGAGAGAAACACAATACTGAGAATGAGGAGTATGTAGTATGTAGGCCTGTCGCGATAGTCAATAAATCAATTAATCGCACGATAAATAAAATTTGCTCAATAACTTTTCTGGCCGCGATAAATCCCATTTGCAGCTTGTTTGTTTCCCCCGTCTCTCTCGTCAGAGAGCCGCAAAGTGGTCACGGGAACACTAGCGGTCTAGCAAGCAGACGGAAATTACTCAAAAATACAAAATACAGCCAAAACAGGACCTAAACCAGGACTTAACCAGGATTGATAATGGGGGACACAGTAGTTGTGAACATATGCCGGCAGCTGAGTTCTCATTCAGGCTTGATTAGTGACTATACTAGCGCAGCTAGCGTTAGCGTGTTCGCCAATGCAGAAGTACCGTACCATACCAATAAAATAAACTTATGGCGCACCTCCGTGAACACATACTGCTGTTATATAAAGTCTCTAGAAGGTCTCTGAACACAGAGATGCTGCAGACTTGCATTCTTGGAGTAGAACTTTACACAAAAAACCCGCTAGCTTAGCTGTTAGCATCAAAGCCCGCCCCGCTACTTCCGGTGGGCGCTACCGCAGCAGGACTTCTGTACGCCCCATTGGTGAACCCACATGTCAGTCACTTGTCATTCGCCTGGTGTGTGGGGAGGTGGGACTACTCCTGAGAGATCCTGTCTTAAACCACACAAAGTCAACATGTTGGTATTTCTTTCTCGTAATCTGCCATAAAGTCTGAGAAATTATTGACATTTGAGGCATCTGTTTCATATTTTCTTTACAAAGGTCCTGGCAGTTTTATTCCTGGTCATTTTTTGTTAAGAGACTGAGTATTTTATTTATTGTTTTTGGTTGTTTGTAAATTTATTGTGTTCTAGCGTTAAATATTCGTTAAAAATAAAAGTTTATTTCTCTTTGAAAAGGTGTACCTGCATGATCATTGTAATCGATGCAAATGATCTCAGAACGACAATATAATCGCTTATCGCAATAATTTCTGAGACAATTAATCGTCCAGCAAAATTTGTTATCGTGACAGGCCTAGTAGTATGGCAATCTGACCTTGGGTCAAGTGCTGTCGCAACTCTCAGCCATGTAACATTGGTCTTCTCCTTGCGAGCTTCCAGGTCTGCTGTGAAGGTTTCCTTGAACTTGATCATGTAGGATGGGTCGTCCTCAGTGACCTCCATCACTCGGGACAGATGACACAATGCTGGCAGTACCACTGAGCAAGAAACATACTTCTCTCCACCCAGAAGTTCAGATATATACCTGCAATATAAAGAAGCTCTTTAGTGTTTCATTCACATATCACTCACTCGATTATTAAAGAAACAAATAAACAAGAAATTACCTGCACTGCTCCAACGCAGCCTGAAGCTTCTTCATTTTCTCCAGTTCAGTTGCTGTTGGCATGGTGACGTTGGTTTTGTGTAGTGCCAGTGCATCTCTCAGGGGTTCAGCATTCCGCTGGACACGCTTGATCATTTCTAGGGTACTATTCCATCTTGTTGACACGTCCTGTGTGAGTGACTCGGTCTTCTGATGGTGTGCGGTTTGTTGCTGCTCGAGCTCCACGGCATTTGCTGGGCTATGCTTGAAGTGCCCAACAACTTTTCTGCATTTTGCCAATGCGTTGTCAAATGGGCTGTTATGTAGAGAAACCGTGACTGCTCGGTGCACACTGTGTGCGATGCACGGCATGTGTTCAAAAGGGAGCTGTCTGGCCGCAGCAATCATGTTGCGTGCACTATCCGTGGTCAGTGAGACAACTTTGTGTTCGATATTCCACTCTCTGGCTACTTTCATGAAATGCTCTGCAACAGCGTCGCTGAAGTGCCTCTCTTCTGTCTTCATAACAGTCAAAGCATGCGAATGAAGTTCCCACTGTGGATCGAAATAATGGGCTGTGACTCCGAGGTAGTTATCATTACTGAGGGATGTCCAGTAATCTCCAGTCAGCGCGACCTCATTTGTCTGCTCCAACGCATGCTGTACCTTAGACGTCTCAGTTTCGTACAAATTCTCGATGCGTCTTGTAATGGTAGCACGCGAAGGGGCTTCATATGTCCAGTCGTTGGATGCGATGCGTATGATCTCAGTTAGACCCTCGTCCTCCACAATGTTGACGGGCCTACATGCAGTAGCTATCCATTTGGCTATGGCTGCAATAAGTTTGTTTTTAGTTGCGGCATCCATATGCCTCTGTCGAAAGCCATCGATTGTGACCTGGTTTGGAGAGGAAGGCGGCGCAGATTTCCCATCAGCGGTGTGCTTGGCCATCAAGTGGTATTTCAAAGAGGATGTGCTACGGTGATAACTAAGTTCGCACCGGCAATACACACAAATAACTTTAGTCTTGTCAGTCGACCCATCTGGCAACATTTTGAAACTAAACTTTCCATTTAGGAGCTTGTTTACCTCCATTTCGGCGTTTCGCGCTTGACTTTTACCGCTAGCGAGCAGGCAAGACCAGACCAAACATTTGCGTGGGGGGGCGTACCTATTGTTTTGTTTCCGGTTTACAAGCGGAATGGATCCTGTAATTTTTCTAACATTACTAGCAGTGGCCACAGCTTAAAAAAAAACTAAAAGTAGTCTACCAGTGTCCTGCGCTCCGCTGTCTTCCGGGGGCCCCGCAGGAGGGCAGGTTACCATGCCCAGGCTCATTTTTTGAATGCATCACATAGATTTAGACTGATTTAGGGGGAGAAGGAGGAAAAATAAATAAATAAATAAAAAAAAAAAATAATAAAAAAAAAAAATAATAATAAAAAAAAAAATATATATATATATATATATATATATATATATTTTTTTTTTAATCGCGCAATAAAAAAAATGACGGCGTTAATATTGATTTGCGTTAACGCGTTAATAACGCGCTATTTTGGACAGCCCTAATATATATGTGTATGTATGTATGTATATATATGTGTATATATGTGTATATATATGTGTATATATATGTGTATATATGTGTATGTATGTATATATATGTGTATGTATGTATGTATATATATGTGTATGTATGTATGTATATATATGTGTATGTATGTATGTATATATATGTGTATGTATGTATGTGTATGTATGTATGTATATATATGTGTATGTATGTATGTATATATATGTATATATGTATGTATGTATATATGTATATATATGTGTATGTATGTATGTATGTATATGTATATATATATATATATATATATATATATATATATGTGTATATATATGTATATATGTGTGTGTATATATATGTATATATGTGTATGTATATATATGTATATATATGTATGTATATATATGTATATATATGTATATATATATATATATATATATATATATATATATATATATATATATATATATATATATATATATATATATACATATATATACATACATATATATACATACACATATATACATATATATACATATATATACATACATATATATACATATATATACATACACATATATACATATATATACACACACATATATACATATATATACACATATATATATATAAATGTATATGTATAAATGTATATGTATATATATATGTATGTATATCCATCCATCCATCCATTTTCTACCCTTTAATCCATTTCTGGGTCAGGGGGGTGGCAATCAGAGATGCCACCCAAGTCTCATAGCACCAGCCCCTCACTGATCCTCTGCAGGTGGTGAGTCCACAGGAGGACGGCTGCTCTCTGAGTGTGAGCATAGCCTTGATCTTTCAGCGGGGGCTTTTTGGGCAAAGTGGGGTTAAGTGTCTATATATATATATATATATATATATAAAATACATACATATTATATGTATATATAGCTGCTGTAAAGTGCTGGTGTGTGTGCTGTTGTCAGGTGTCCTCAGCTGACAGTGACCTGGAGGCTCGTCTCAACAGCTGGAACCTGGGGGTGAGTGCAGGGGCTTGCCTCCAGCCATGCACAACATGCCATAGAAAATAGAAGCCTATACTCAAACCTAATGTAGTCAATCATATTTGTCAAGCCCACTCACACTACTAATAACTATATAGAACCTCCTCTACCATCTTCAAGGTAGTCCCAGGATCTCGAGATAGCATTAAAAAAGTATTTAGGGAAAAAATAGGGATATTTTGCAATGTAGATGTTCATATACTGTATGTCTTAATGTCTATATATTATTTTTTGATATTATTAATGGATAACGTGGGTCTTTATTCATTAATTTACGTATCATGCAGAGGGGTGTTTCTCTTCACTCCACTTGTTTCCGCTCTGCTCGCCCACCCGCTATACGCTACCATTTGTTCCCCTTTATTGGCCGAGTAATCTGAGTTTCCTATCTGCAGACATGTGGCTACACACTGCTCCTCTCCACACTCCTCTGTTGAGACGCTGATAAGACGCAGTGTTGGCATCCCTCCCTGCAGCCTGAATCTTTCAAATCAACAGATGTTCCACATTCGCCAAAACAGACCCACAAACCTCCTTTACACACTTTTCACTTTTAGAGAAGCCTGAACAGTCCTTGGATATTTTTTTTGCCACACCACTGACCACGTCTTTTTGAAGCATCCTTTGACAGTTTGTTGTCGCCCATATTGGTTTTATTCGATAGTCGTCCGTTCAAATGCTACACCTGGTGCTGATGTTGACCCACATTTTTAACTGTAAGGATAAAATGATACCCTGTTTTATATATATATTTACATATATTTAACAGAGTGAGGCATCAGCAATGCAAACATTTACAAGGACTATAATAAAGAAGTAGATAAATATAGCTATTCTTAGTTTTAAGTAATAGTAAGTTAAATTAATTATGTAAGAATAAAACTTTCAGTCCTATTGAGAAAAAATGTGGCTTTTCTTTTTTGATTCCTCTTCATGCACTAACCTCAGGGTGTGAAGTATTGAATATAGCTTGAGTGCCTGTATTGTCCAGAGTAATACATATTTTAAAGGTTAATGAGTCATGATGAATCCTATTAATTGTTGCAGCTCCCCTCAATTCAACGTTAAATTTAGCCATTGCCAAACCTTGTTGCTTTCCAGAACCAACGTTGAGCCAAAGCCAAAACGATAGACTGGATTTATTGAGGATTTACATTCTTTTTATGCATCTCCCTTTGTGTTTTTTGTTGTTGTACTTTTTTCCCCTTACTTTTTATCGTCCCAAACCTTTTTTATTTCCTGTGTCACGCTGTCTTAGTCCTCCCTGAGCTACGGTTCTTTCATCTACCTCACCTGTCACCATTTCTCCCTCAAGCAGCACATTGTGACTCTTACTCATGTACAGTAGCACCAACTGTATTAGTCCCCTGCTCAGGGGTTCTTTCAGGTCTTTCTCTCCTCCACCATTCATTTTGGATTAGCTTGCGTGGGTTGTACCACCTCACAACATTAAATAGTTTTTTTTTTTTTTTTTTTTTTTTTTTACTTCGCTCTGAATGGGTCTCACGTCACCCCCTTGCCTTACATTGCCTATTTTTCCCTCTTGCTGTATCCCATTCCCGGTGTTGTGAAGAGATTAGCGGCACAACTGTTTACTGGGCGTCATTGCTGTCATCTCCAAAGTCAGCTCTGCGGCTTTGAACGACTGTGATCTTAGCGCTAGTTGGCAGCCCCTACAGACAGCCTGAGTGCATGACTGAGGAAGGCTGCAAGTTAGGAGTTCACAACAATGTAATGGGGTCAATAATATGAAAGTGTATGCCAGGGAATGGGTTGGAAAATCGACGCTTTTCGGTGGGTTTAGTGCTTGTGTTCAGCAAAATACATACAGATTTGAAGTCCAGTGACGACTGATGCATATACTTTTTAGACCCATTTTATACACGCCTTTTTATGTTGTATTATTTCTATTAGTCTTTTTCACCGACAAAAACACATGCAGTAAAAATGCATTGATTGGATTGATTGTACAACTTTTCTTTTTCAGATTGAAAGCCCGAGATATTTGCGAGAGAAGCCTGTTCCCTTGTCTCCTGTAAGTTGTTTCCTTTGAGAAAAAAAACACTTCTTTTATAGATAATGCTCTAGTTTTAGGCCTCTAAATAAGCTGGGGTACTTGACTTTGAAACCACAAAAAATAACCATGTAATAGAATCAATGTTACTTGTCCCTAGCCCACAAAACTGTTTGGTTCTATCACCAGTTTTCACATGCATTTTTAACTTTTTCACTTTTTCAAGTTTTTGTGCAATCTGTTCACAAAATATTACTTAAACAAGACTTTAGAACAAACAATGTAAACAATGTATTTATGAAGCAAAAAAGTAGGTACTTAAGGTTTATTAATGAATTTGATCAATTGATCATTTTATCAGTTATGAGATTATGATAATACATTTTATTTCTGAGGCGCCTTTCTTGACACTCAAGGTCACCTTACATACAAGGAGAGTTCAGTTATATGCGATTATCCGATCGATAGATCAATTTAGTTTTTTCAATATGAAAAAACAAGGATTTTTGACATATTTGACCAAAAATGTGTGTGTGTGTATATATATATATATATATATATATATATATAAAATATATTATATATATTATATAATATTAATTTGTATTTTAAATTGCAGATTTTGAAGTCAAACTGTTCACTTGGCGAGGGTCTCATTCCAGCGGCTGACCTGAACAATGAGGTATGCAAGATCCTAAAACAACCTACATTCCATACATCCTACATTCTGATATAAAGGTTGAGTGGTGTACATAGGTCTGGGGTTAGTACTCTCACAAATGGTACACAACATCATGACCAAGGAAAGGGACAGATATTTTCGAAATTGTGCACACAGTGTTCTATTGCTGTTACATACCATTACTTATCTCATCCATAGAAGCATTTGACCTTCTCAACAGGCATATGTGCAAACTCATCACGTGTGTTGTTCAAATGGTCGAGCTGAACATTCCTTCCGTAAGACAAAAATAATGCTGACTTGTGGTGATGACAGTTTTTCCTTATGTGAATTTAAGCTGAAAATCCCATTCTGGAAGCATGCTTTGAAGTCCCCTCTGCACCTCCCCGCCTTATCCGAACAAGTCCTCGCTCCCTCTGCCACCATTCTTCACATTCACTTGCTATGTTACATATAAAACTGGGCATGACTTTGCTATAATATCCATGGCTTTTCAAGTCTGCACTTCAGTAAGACCAGCTGCACAAGGTAAAGAAGAGAATAACAGACAGAGAAAGGATAATGGCCATTGGATATTGACCGCCCATTATGATGTTTACATTTAATACCTGTGGCCACACATACTTAGCCTGTCCGCTTGTATCGAAGCTAGCAGCACCAATGCAAAAACATTAAGCAGCGCCCTATTCTGTTTGATCCTACCTCAGACGTTCTGATTGGCTCCATGCTGCTGTGTGTGTTGAGAATATGAATTCTGACTTAAGAGGGCTGATGCTCAACAACCTAATGCCAACTTATATGTTTTTATACATTTTATATTTATATGTAGAAGTTTTACATTAGAATTTATCTTGAATATGTAATACAAAACTTTGAAGAATAATCATCTGGAATACAATCATTGTGTTTTATTATATTGCTGTGTTACTCTTTGAATAGAATTTGTTTCCATGAATTTTAGAAATCAGGTTTTAATATTATCTGCAACTGATACCATTGTGCCGGTGTTCCAGAAGCCCCTTAGGCTGCAGTTTTAGAATTGAACATTTTATTTGTATCAAGTTTCACTATTGCCAATTAAAAGTGTCTTAAATGGATTTGGGCGGGGTCTTACTTCACAGGATACAGCTGTGGCCACACACACGTTTCCTCACAGCACAAACTTGAGCCACTAATCCCCATATAGCCATGTTATCCTCAACGGCCACATTTAAGTTTTCTATTGCACCTTCCGGAACCTTGCCCACCCTTATTTTCGCAATGCAGTACATTCAGTGACTGACATCACTTCCATTTAATCTTCCTATCCGGGATCAAAATTGATCTTGGGTTTAAAATGTTATGCCAACCAAATGTTTTCTTGCATGCAATATCTATGCTTTCACAAAGAATTAATCCATATCCAACAGTGATTAGAGCTCTCTGCACTTTCACTATGAAATAATAAGTGGCAGCTGAGTATAACTACCGGCAACCACTCCACGTACTGTTTGGTCGAGACATTTTGGCGGTTGAATTGCTTAACCATGAACACCCCTCATACAGTTTTATATTTTTTGCGTTGAACTCTTGAAAAGTGCGAGGGTTTATATCAGGGGTCTCCAACCTGTGTCTTGGAAGCTACCAATAGCTCGCCTAATGTTTTAAGAATTTAACACATGATCTGAGTGCTTCACTTTTGAGTCATTACAAGTCTATTTTAACTATACATCTTTTACTTAATGCAGGGATACTGTATTGTAGTGGCATGTTATACAAGTGTATTCTCCATTCTCCATGGCTGTAGTTATTATATATACTACAATTTTATTACGACTGCTAAAAGGAGTAGCTCTCTGCCATTTCTGTAGCTCTCCAATCAATAAAGGTTTGAGACCCCTGGTATATATTGTTCATTTTATATTAGATTATATACAGTTTGCTATATATGTCATTTTAGTTTGAATTGATCTATTTTTAATATTTTTTGTAATTTCTTGTAAATGTTGTCCTGATTTGTCCTAATAGAACTGTTGCCTTATAGACATGGTGAGTTAGAGGGGTTTGTTAGTGTCAGGCTCTCACATCTTCAGGGTTAGGAGTCTCGAACTGCAGCTAAGACTTTCTCTCATCCACTGCAGTAATGATCCAGTCATTCTCATCCGTAAATCTTTGGGGAAAAGGCTTGTGGCCTCCGCTCTTGATGTAGAAGGCCATGGCTTAGTCTTATCTGATCGTCATTCAAAGCCAAAAAAAAACATGCGTGAGCTGGAGTACTATAAAGGCTAACTGAAGTGTAGTTTGTAGTTTAGTTCTTCATAATAAAGTCTCATAGTTTTCATTTTATTTTTGTATTTTTTTCGTGTGTCCCAGAAAAATGTGTGAATCAATTCAAGAATGATAAAGAGCGTGTGTTGTTGGCTGAAGCTGGAAAGATATCAGGCACGTGGCTGAGTGGATTGCACTCTTGCTTTTCAGCAAGAAGGTCCTGGGTTTGAATCCCAGTAGGAACAGGGTCTTTCTGAGTGGAGTTTGCATGTTCTCCGGTTTCCTTCGGGTACAAAAACTGAGCATCAACATCTGGAGATGGTTCCCAGGCGCTGTACTCTGGCGACCACTGCTCCTGTTAGACGTCCTAGTGGCATCATGATGGGTCAAATGCAGAGGATGAATTGCCCTACAGGGATAGATAAAGTGCACCTTTACCTTAATCTTTATTATCATTATCAAGAAAAGTAAAGTCAAGTAAAGTAGTCCTGTACAAACATGGGCTGAACCCTGATAAACCAAGACGTGGCCAAAGGAAACAGGCGATCCATGATTCCAATGCTGTGGATTTTTGTGCACCATATTTGTCTCTATCCCCAATAATGATGGAGAAACTTGGGATTTTGAACTTTAGAAACTTCATATTTGATATAAAGTACATGGGAATTTGTGTGGCAAAAACACACATTAAAACACTAAACCAAACTTATTTTTATCCCCTCAGAACTGTCAGGAATTGTACCGTTAGATCTCGATTCACTGATTTCAGCGAAAAACTGGGATTTAACACAAAGTCCCTAGTTTTATAATCTGCTTGCAAAACCATTATTGCTAGTGTATACTTAGAATGTATATGTGAATACACATAGAGTAAGTCTTTTCCTCATTCTAACTTTGTAGCTGATGTTAACTTGTGTCTGAGCTTCTGAAGTTTTATCCTTCTATCTGGATAAAGAGACAGTAAATTAACTTCTCGTCTTGAGTGTTTGAATGGCATCTATCTGTTCTTTAGAAGATAGCGGCAGACTGCTTTCTGACTATCCCAGAGCATCTGTGTTTACAGAGGATGAAAGCTGTACCAGGACATCGTACATCTCACACAAGACCAAGGAGAAGCACAAACGACAACCTTGCTTTGTGCTGCCTAAACGGTTAGCAGACGATTTGCGAGCGCGTCCCCTTGAGGAAGACGGGCCTTGACCCCGCGTTGGTTTTTCGCAAGCCAAAAACAGAAACTCTTCCCCTTGCTTTTCTCTCCCCCATTTCCCGCTCCGACTCCTTTTATCCTTTCAAGAGCGGAGTGTCAAAAAACATGGCATCTTACAGCGCGCGCTACAACTCAGAAGACGTGGAGAGGAGAAGAAAGAAGTGCCACCCAGTCAAGCTGATTGAAGACATCTCTGAAGCCTTAGGTGTACGACGTTCTCTCCTCACTCTCCCTTCACCGACGCTTTTATAAACAAGTTTCAAACGCCCCTGCTAGTTTGACAAACTTTCTCCAAAGAGCATTTGAAGAGCAGATGTGAAAGTGACACCCCCACATGTGCGTTTTTTTAGTATATTTTTTTATGTTGTGGTGGTGGTGGTTGTGGGGGCAGGAGGGACTATTGCAGTGATGTGCCTTTCAATCAAGGCATCTCGTTCTGTCATCCACTCTATTTTATCTTGCTTTTTTTTCTACTGTTGACAGCTCTCTTGTGGCTCTCTCAATAGCAAGACATAGACAAGAATAAAGACACGGATGAAAGGCACAGAGACGACTTTGTCAAAGATGGTGCTTGATTGTTGTATGTCTTTGGTAATTATGCTTTAGATGGTTTATCTTTCATTTGGAGTTTACATTTTATTTTTTATTTTTTTGAACGGCCATACCTGAATTTGAAAGCCTGAAATCGGGTAGATCTTCGTTAGTACGGTACTGTGACTAGAAGCTACTGGGAATATCAAGTGCCAGAATGGGACGACGGAGGATGTAAAGTGCTAATCTGTTGATTGGTGGTTGAAGTGTTATGGAGTGAATGAGTGAATGAGAATAAATAGTGCCAAGTTTTTGTTTTTCTTCTTCTTTTTTTTACCTGCCTTGTGCTTCCAATTGCCTGTCTCGTTTCAGTTTGTTTCTTGTCCCATTCAGATATCCCATAGTCGTTTTCCAATTCTCTAATTCTTTAAAGTTTTTTAAAGCTTGCATTACATATTAACACACAGTCTTACACAGTCCCTAATTGGACGATAAATGTTCTGGAGTCTGCTCTGGTTTATGGAAATTATTACTTCAATTAACTAGCTATCTAGTGACTACTAACCAGGTTTGTTTTCAACTTGTGTGTATGCATACAGTGGGGAAAAAAGTACGGGCAAATCTCAAACGTCCATGTACTTCTGTAATTCAATAATAGAATCATATTGTTATTCTATAATTACAATGTGAAACTAGTAAACCCGGATTTATCACTTTTTTAATCACTGCATTAATATTAGAGCAAACAAAGGCTTGGCATATGTCACTTTGCATGTAATGATAATGTTTATTGGTTTCACATTTTAAGTTGATTTTCAGAAATATATGCATTTTTGAACAATGTTCAGGATTTTACCTTTGTTGGCAATGACAACACAGGTTTCCACACACTGTAGCTGATATTTTGAACAATTCTTTCATGGGACCCTCCACAGATTTTCTATTGGGTTGAAGTCTGGAGACTGACTAGTCCACTCCAGGACCTTAAAATGCTTTTACAGAGCCACTCCTTCATTGTCTGGGTGATGTGTTTTGGATCATTGTCATGATGATCACCCAGTCTCACCATCCATGACCCTGTTCATCTATTCTTAATCTATACGGATCAGTAGTTCTATCCCCTTTGCAAAAGAGCAGCCCCCAAACCATAATGGTTCTTGGGATGCAGTGCCCAAACGGGTCCCCCTGCTTTAGCCAGCTCATGTCCTGGCCTATCAAGTTTTCTGATAACCATCCGAACGATCCATAAGTCCTTCTGTTTCGGTTCTATAGAAAGTGACACAAGGGAAGTTGGGTGGGTAGCAAGGGCTTTTATTGCTGCTTGCAATTAATTTAATTATCAAAGGTAACTCTTCTGTTAAGGGAATGTTTGTATTAGTGTGTAACTGTGATTTGTTTGAACAAAGTTTCCCTGTCAGTGGCATAATCACATAAAAAGGCTGCATTCAAAGAGTTCAAGGGTTGATTATCACACAGGAGCAGGACTGTGACCAAAGCTACTTCCCTGTGACCCTCATACAGGGCCTCTCTTTGTATTCAACCATGTTCCATGTGTGGAACACGCATTGCTTATATTCATTACTTCAATGAAAATCTATGATGCAAATTGACCAACTACAATATTGAAAGTGAAACCAATTACATTATATCGACTATATACAAGTAATATTTGTCAGATAATATTGCTACATCTTCTGAAAGCGACTAGCCATATGTTGCCGTTATCGTTGCACCACCCACAGGCAAAAAAACTAGAGAGGGCTGCTTCAAAAAACACTCAACACTTTGATGCTGCACACATAGTTTGGCATAACCTTAGGCAGGAAGATTTCTGCAGTGGAATGATCTAAAAAGTCTATTTTTGTCATCCAACTTGTTAGACTTTACTAGGCATTGAAGATTTCTCTTTTTTTACATAAGTTCACTAGCCTTAAGCAGGGCATACATTGTAATACCGCATGCCACAGTGGGTGCAGACAAATCATGTCTTTTGGCAAGACACTTTACCCAAAGGTTAAGTTTGAGTCTGTGTGTGTGAACATGGTTGGTGGTGCCTCAGGGCAGCTGTGGCTGCAGTAGTAGTTGACCACTATTGTGGCTGTATTGAATGAATATTACACAGAATTGTGCCCCTGAAAAGTGTTAAATGGATAAAAGTGACTTATATACTTATTACTAATGTTTAAATTAGTATTCCTGTGTGGTGTTACAGGTTGAGCTGAAGATAAAAGTTGTTGAGGCCAAGCACCAGGAGGAGATTTTGAAGTGTCAGCAGAGACATGATAAAGATGTTGAGAAGGTAAAAGTTTTACACATTTTCACACACTTAAACTGTTGCTGCTTACAGGCTGTATTCTGTCTTCTCTCAAAATGTGTACATTGAATAGAATTACTGATCTTCAGATCTTTTAATTGTTGAAATGAGGAATGGTAAGAAAAGTTACTTGATACATGTACAGTGTTTACTCCAGTTTTATACTCAGCACTGCATGTTACAGTGTTTTAATAGTCTCTTTTATCCATCTCATAAAGAGGTTATCCTACTGTTGCTGCTGCCGCTCAGCACTAAACTCCTAGCCCTGTGTCCTGATTTGTATTTATTTTTTTTCTAATTGGATGTTGGTATAATTATGTTTTTGTTATAACAGTATCTAAGACATAAACAAATGTATATTCTATGTGTATAGCAAAAATAGTATTATGTGCTTTGAAAGTATGGAGTCAAAATTCTGTTTTTTTTGTTTTTTAGATTTTGCATCGAAAGAACAAAGAGATTGATGAGTTAAAGAGCATGTATTTGGCCAAGCAGAATGATGCTGAGGAGAAGATCCGAAAGCTGGAGAGGAAAGGTTTGTTAACATGTGGGGTGGGAAGAATGTTTACATCTATGTCACCAGCACCAATGTAAAGAAGCTCAAAAGAGTGTGTTTTGTTGAGTTGTTTTTGTCTTGTTTGTATTTTTGTACCCTCCAACAATAGTGTAAGTCATTGAAACATTTACTACATTAACAGCGTTCTCTGTTACAGTTCAGAATGTGCTGCGGGAGTCCCAGTTTATTTCTGAGACCAAGGAGAAACAGATCCAAGAACTGAAGAAAATTGCAGATCAAAGCAGTAATACTTTAAAAAATGAGTGGGAGAAGAAGGTAGGAAGTTGTTTGGTGCTTTACAAACAAAAACTCAGATGGCATCTCTTGCTTGAGTTGGAGGTCATTTTGATGAATTTTAAGTCATAGACCCATCTTACATAGGGAGGGGCAGGCAACACCACAGGGTTCTCATAAAGGTATACAGTGGGCTTACTACCATACCGTAAATAAGTAACAGACCATCATAGTAGGACAATGGTAGTATTGGTAAAAAACTATGGTTTGTCCATAATATTATCTGGATCACCATCTGTATTCAGGAATTTCTTGAGAATGTAACTACGCCTTTTGTCTGCGCTCTACAAATGATTCTTTATTTATTTTTATTTTTTTGTTTTTTCATGAATGTGCTTTGTACACTGAAAGGCACCTTTTTCCTTCTCGGTGCACTGTGATGTGGATTGCGTGATTGCTGTTGTTAAGCGAGTGGCAAATGAATTTCTTTCTTGTCGCTTCTCATTTCATTGGGGTCACCTCCCTGATGATAGTTGTCTTTCATTTGCCATGAAAAAGAAAATTGGTGTGTGATTTGAAATTAAATCATAACAAGTGGAGTGAAATGTTGCATGTAATTGAAGCGGATATGTGATGTGTTTTCGCAGCTGCGTGTGGCTGTGACAGAGATGGAGCAGGAGAAGTTTGACCTACAGAAGAAACACACCGTGAACATTCAGGAGCTGTTGGAGGAGACCAACCAAAGATTGGCCAAGATGGAGGCGGAGTATAGTGGCCGGGCACAGTCCACAGTGAGTACACAGGATCTAATTTGTTAGAATGCATACAATTTAGATTATTATTATTATCTTTAATTATCAACAATGTTATGTGAAATGATAGTGCTCCACATTTTTATTTATCTTATTTAGAGCTGTCAAAATTATTGCGTTAACGCACGTTTATTCAATTTTTTCATTAATGTATTTGACGCATGTGCTGAATGACCCGATGGTGCGTCCCATGATAACGCTCAGAATGCCGCGGCCACATGAGTGTGATGGCGACAGAGCAGGTCTCTGGGAATTCAAGTTTAAAAAGAACACGCGCCTGACTGCGGGACACTTGCTGTTGTTTGCTGTATGAAGAACGGGAGTCTGCATCTTCTGTGGCCGCAATGTTCTGACCAATGTGATTAATTACGAATTAATTAATTTTTAAGCTCTAATTAACTCGATACATTTTTTTAATAGTTTGACAACCCTAATCTTATTACAAAACTTGTTATATTTTACATGCTTGTAACAACAAAGAGCTGATCTAAAGGTGTATCAGCTCAAAACATACATGCATGTAAAAATAAGTGATACAACTGTTTTGGCATTAGCAAGGAACTAGTTACTTGGATTTTATGACATCGTTTTTTGTTTTTCAATCTAAAGGCTAGGTATAGCTTCACAGAACTATCCTTATTAGGTTCGAGCTGGAATATTTCTTCTTTTCAAGTCTTCAGAGCTTGTTGCTGTGATTTAGATTGGTTGATTAATTATTGATCATTATTGTCCAAAAAGGAATACAATTTTGCCAGCTCTCTGATGTGTTGACCTTTCATTCAGATTGACCAAAAAACATAAAGCTGTGAAAAAGGACACTCCACAACAAATCATGGGAGAATTTACAAAGACCAACTCTTTAGGATTAACACTGAACACATACATTTCCTTCCGTCTCACATGTTTTAGGCAAACAGTGCTTGACGTTACATGATGTGTATAATCTATATACATCTTTGAGTACATTCTCAGTTTACTCATGTCATATGTCATGCGCTTCATTATAAATCAGTGACTCACAGTGTGGTGGAAATGAGGAAAGACGCTTTGTAACCTCTGGGTGAAAGCAACTCTCATTTTTTCTATCTGTCATCTTTACAAAGGTCTTTGATCCTGGCTCTATTCAGTCTTCTCATGGCAGTGGCAGTGCTCACAGATATGCAGGCACACACAAACACACACCTCCCAAAGCACTTTCTTTGATGTTTTCTCAAAGACTCTGGTTTTAAGAGGAAACAAGCACATTTCATTAGTGAGGCTCATCAACTGAGAACTAGCATATGTGCTGCTTCATAAATAGTTCTGTTATCAATATCATCATTCAGGGCTTTCGCTCTCATATCACAAGTACACACAAAGCTTCTGGCCTTAATCTGTCAACACACCCACTTTTAAAGACATTAGATTCTGCACAGTACGGGCCGTGTAGTGAAGGAATCTCTTTATTATTATGTATTACATCTCAACAGGATTATACAAAATATTTGTCTATCGTGGTAAAAAAAATAAAAACATTTTCACTTTAGACAATTACATGTTTGTTGACAAAATTAGGGGAAAGTTCTACTTTGACCATAAACAAACCAACATGTGTGTACACATATTCAGTAATCTTCTGATTGACAATGAGATGAGATGACTTAAACTAATAATCTGATTTGTCCCATAATATAATATAATACACTGGTCGGCTGCTGCTTTCTGACTACTTTCAAACACACAACAGCACTCGTCATTCCACCAGCCTCTGTCATCGACTAGATCAACCAGCACGCTCAAACTTTAATCAGAGCCTATCATCATCCTGCTCTGCCGCATACCAGGCTGTCACATATGAACTCACAAAGACTCACAACAAGACAAAAAGGGAAAGGAACTTCTCATCAATATCTTTCAGGAAGAACTGTTTACGTCACTTTGATTATTATCTGAAATAACTTCAAAGATGTCATTGGATCGGAAATACAACAGTAGTAAAGCAAATGCCTCATTTTTGTACTTTTTACTGAACGCATTACTTCAATAGAACTGTCTGGAGGTTTCATAAATATGTACCCCAATTTTGTGTTTTACTTATCCCAGTAGTTCTCGGTAGGTACCGGTTTCTCAAAACGTCCTATATGTAAGATTAAATACACCTTACTGTCTCCAAATTGAAATTTGTTGTCTGCATTGGATATATCTGTCCAAAAAGGCAGCAAGGATTATTTCCTTTGTTGGATGATTGGTTGAGAAGGGGAAACTGAAGCGGCTGGAGGTAACCAACCCAGATAGAAACAGGCTAACTCAAGCATGGCACCACACACTCTCTAATGTGCAGCTGTTTTCAGTTCTCTGATCGGTTGGAAACACGTCAACATGAAACCACAGGAATAAGTATTAGTCACTCTCTTCTGATAAAATTGTCAGCTATTAATATTATTTTTGTATTAATTAACATACACTTTCCCAAGTATGCCATGGGTCGTTCAGATTGATTGTCATCCTTCTCTTCCAGTATTGTTTTGCTGAGGTGAAATATAAAAACGATTGAATCTGGCATGTGTTGTATATTAGGAGAAGACAGTACGTGACCTGGAGAAGAGGGTGAAGCAGCAGTCGATGGAGGTTGAAAAGGGAAACAAATTGCGACAGAGGGTGACACAGGAGAAGGCTCAGCTGGAGATCCACATCGCATCCATCAGTGCTGAACTACAGGAGGCTAACAGGAGGTGTGCAAGTCTAAAAATGTGGATTTATGCAGCAAAAATATAATATTTATTCTGTGTATTTTGTGCTTTCCCATTTACAGAATTCTTAGTCTGCAAAAAGAGAAGGAAGACCAGAAGAAACTCTATCAACAAACGATGGAGAAACTACATACTAAATATGAAACTGACATAAGCCATTTGCAGCAAGAGCACAAGCTGTCTGCAGCTAAGGTCACTGTTATAAAGATGTTTGTGTGAGCTTCTTCATTAAATACCAATATGTGTTTTTTTTATATAGGCTTCTGAGTTGATTGACGAGTTGGAGAAAAATGTGGCTCAACTAAGACTACAACTCCAAGAAAATGAGAATTTTAGACTTGAACAACTTCAGGTATGACCGTTTGATAAACGTATGGTGCATAGAGGAGGCTTTATATATCCAGTAATTGTCTACTTCAGGATCATGAGAACAAGTTCCAAATGGAAAAAGAACTGAAGATCCAAAGCGAGAAGAAGGTACTGTATAATAATGAAATATAAATCCCTTCCCACCATTTTCAGAGATTGGAGATGAGGCATATATACAGTACCTTGCGAAAGTATTCGGCCCCCTTGAACCGTTCAACATTTCACCACATTTCAGGCTTCAAACATAAAGATATAAAAAATACAAATAAAAAAATGGAAAGTGGGGCGCCTCCCTGGGGAGGTGTTCCGGGCACGTCCCACCGGGAGGCGGCCCCGCGGAAGACCTAGGACACGCTGGAGGGACTATGTCTCTCAGGTGGCCTGGGAACGCCTTGGGGTCCCCCCGGACGAGCTGGAGGAAGTGTGTGTGGATAGGGAAGTCTGGGCGTCTCTGCTTAGACTGCTGCCCCGGCGACCCGACAACGGATAAAGCGGAAGAAAATGGATGGATGGATGGATGGAAAGTGGGGCGTGCAATATTATTCGGCCCCCTTGCGCTAATACTTTGTAGCGCCACCATTTGCTGCAATTACAGCTGCAAGTCGCTTGGGGTATGTCTCTATCAGTTTTACACATCGAGAGACTGGAATTCTTTCCCATTCTTCCTTGCAAAACAGCTCGAGCTCAGTGAGGTTGGATGGAGAGCGTTTGTGAACAGCAGTCTTCAGCTCTTTCCACAGATTCTCGATTGGATTCAGGTCTGGACTTTGACTTGGCCATTCTAACACCTGGATACGTCTATTTGTGAACCACTCCATTGTAGATTTGGCTTTATGTTTTGGATCATTGTCCTGTTGGAAGATAAATCTCCGTCCCAGTCTCAGGTCTTTTGCAGACTCCAACAGGTTTTCTTCCAGAATGGTCCTGTATTTGGCGCCATCCATCTTCCCTGTCCCTGCTGAAGAAAAGCAGGCCCAAACCATGATGCTGCCACCACCATGTTTGACAGTGGGGATGGTGTGTTCAGGGTGATGAGCTGTGTTGCTTTTACGCCAAACATATCGTTTTGCATTGTGGCCAAAAAGTTCGATTTTGGTTTCATCTGACCAGAGCACCTTCTTCCACTTGTTTCGTGTGTCTCCCAGGTGGCTTGTGGCAAACTTTAAACGAGAATTTTTATGGATATCTTTGAGAAATGGCTTTCTTCTTGCCACTCTTCCATAAAGTCCAGATTTGTGCAGTGCACGACTGATTGTTGTCCTATGGACAGACTCTCCCACCTCAGCTGTAGTTATCTGCAGTTCATCCAGAGTGATCATGGGCCTCTTGGCTGCATCTCTGATCGGTCTTCTTCTTGTTTGAGATGAAAGTTTGGAGGGACGGCCGGGTCTTGGTAGATTTGCAGTGGTCTGATACTCCTTCCATTTCAATAGAATTGCTTGCACAGTGCTCCTTGAGATGTTTAAAGCTTGGGAAATCTTTTTATATCCAAATCCGGCTTTAAACTTCTCCACAACAGTATCTCGGACCTGCCTGGTGTGTTCCTTTGTCTTCATGGTTCTCTCTGCGCTTTAAGCAGAACCCTGAGACTATCAAAGAGCAGGTACATTTATACGGAGACTTGATTGCACACAGACAGGTGCATTCTATTTATCATCATCAGTCATTTAGGACAACATTGGATCATTCAAAGATCCTCACTGAACTTCTGGAGTGAGTTTGCTGCACTGAAAGTAAAGGAGCCGAATAATATTGCACACCCCACTTTTCAGTTTTTTATTTGTTAAAAAAGTTTAAATTATCCAATAAATTTCGTTCCACTTCACGATTGTGTCCTACTTGTTGTTGATTCATGACGAAAAATTAATTTTTATATCTTTATGTTTGAAGCCTGAAATGTGGCAAAATGTTGAAAGGTTCAAGGGGGCCAAATACTTTCGCTGAATATATACTGTGGGGCAAAAAATTATTTAGTCAGCCACCGATTGTGCAGGTTCTCCCACTTAAAATAATGACAGAGGTCTGTAAATTTCATCATAGGTACACTTCAACTGTGAGAGACAGAATGTGAAAAAAAAATCCAGGAATTCACATTGTAGGATTTTTAAAGAATTTATTTGTAAATTATGGTGGAAAATAAGTATTTGGTCAATAACAAAAATTCAACTCAATACTTTGTAATATAACCTTTTTTGGCAATAACAGAGGTGAAGCGATTACTATAGGTCTTTACCAGGTTTGCACACACAGTAGCTGGTATTTTGGCCCATTCCTCCATGCAGATCTTCTCGAGAGCAGTGATGTTTGGGGCTGTCGCCGAGCAACACGGACTTCCAACTCCCTTCACAGATTTTCAATGGGGTTGAGGTCTGGAGACTGGCTAGGCCACTCCAGGACTTTCAAATGCTTATTACGGAGCCACTCCTTCGTTGCCCGGGCGGTGTTTTTGGGATCATTGTCATGCTGGAAGACCCAACCACGTTTCATCTTCAAAGCTCTCACTGTTGGAAAGAGGTTTTGGCTCAAAATCTCACGAGACATGGCCCCATTCATTCTTTCCTTAACACGGATCAGTTGTCCTGTCCCCTTAGCAGAAAAACAGCCCCAAAGCATGACGTTTCCACCCCCATGCTTCACAGTAGGTATGGTGTTCTTGGGATGCAACTCAGTATTCCTCTTCCTCCAAACACGACGAGTTGAGTTTATACCAAACAGTTCTACTTTGGTTTCATCTGACCACATGACATTCTCCCAATCCTCTGCTGTATCATCCATGTGCTCTCTGGCAAACTTCAGACGGGCCTCGGGGGGGACACGTCTGGCACTGCAGGTCATTCATGATCATTTTGACCCCACGGGATGAGATCTTGCGTGGAGCCCCAGATCGAGGGAGATTATCAGTGGTCTTGTATGTCTTCCATTTTCTGATAATTGCTCCCACAGTTGATTTGTTCACACCAAGCTGCTTGCCTATTGTAGATTCACTCTTCCCAGTCTGGTGCAGGTCTACAATTCTTTTCCTGGTGTCCTTCGACAGCTCTTTGGTCTTGGCTATAGTGGGGTTTGGAGTCTGACTGTCTTTTATACAGATAACAGGTGTCTTTTATACAGATAACGAGTTCAAACAGGTGCCATTAATACAGGTAACGCGTGGAGGACATAATAGTCGTCTTCTCTGTCTGGTGCACACCGGGGTAGTCTTGCACAGTTTTTCCAATGTGGTTTTACTGCAAATGGCAAATAAATGAATCTGAATCTGAGGTCTGTGAGAGCCAGAGATCTTCCTTGTTTGAAGTGACCAAATACTTATTTTCCACCATAATTTACAAATAAATTCTTTAAAAATCCTACAATGTGGATTCTGGATTTTTTTTTTCCCACATTCTGTCTCTCACAGTTGAAGTGTACCTATGATGAAAATTACAGACCTCTGACATTACTTTAAGTGGGAGAACTTGCACAATTGTTGGCTGACTCAATACTTTTTTGCCCCACTGTATATGTATATTGATAGATATAGACTTTTTGTTACCGTCACTTTACTTCACTGCTAAATGTCGCTTGTTTGTGTATATAGTTGTTTTAAGAAATCTTTTGTCAATTTTTTTGTTATTTTTTTGCAAGCAATTTCCTAGTTTGTGACTTCCTGATACTTACAATGGCATTACCGATAAATATTTTATTGCCAAATCAAAACAAAAGTGCTGAACTATCTTGTTTAGTTTTTAGTTTTTAGTTTAGCATTTTGAGTTGTGTATGAATTGTGCTATAGATTTTCTGAGGAAATTATATTTCTGGCCAAAACTATCAAAATGTTTTCCACTGGCTTCATTTCAGATTTCTCTCCCTCAGTTTGGATAAAATGCCATATCTGCCTTTGATGCTGATCAATTAGTTAAAAGATTGTGTGATCGGAAAAAAACTTCAACTTCCATGATTTCTATTGCCAGCTTCACCATGGTCCAAAATATTTTCAATACTGTAATGTTTTATGTATTTTCCACAGCCTGAAAGAAACCAACTATTTACTTTCTGAATCCATACCACACATACATTAAATACATCTCAGCATAATGTTTGATTGATCTAGTTCCAGTTTTGATTTTGATTTTTTTTTTTTGTATGCTATAAATGTAAGACAAACCCTGAAGATAAACATAGTCCCCATATTTCAAGATGGTAAAACAAAACAACATTGATTAATATGCAATATATTTTTTATTGTCATTTTTTCCCATTATCGCCCAAACATAAGCCCCGGAACACGATGGAACATGAACCCATTATCATGAGATCAACAGGCGATCAACTCTCCACCACAAAACCTACAGAGTGAACAAGTGGAAGTAGATCTTCACATTTACACACATGCACACAGACTTTTTCTGGCTTTTGCATGCAAACATAGTATATCATAATTGTACTTGTATTAATTATTACTTGTATTAACACCTCCCTTGACACACATCTGTCCAGTGACTACTTTCAATAGAGAAGGACATTTAATGTCGTCCATATAGACTGTTGCCATGTTGAGACTTAGCAACACAGTGAAAATACAGTCTGGGAATGTCTCCGTCATCCACAAACTGTTCTGGGTCCCCTGAGAGCCCCGTTCTGCTCTTGAGAAGTAGTAAAAGAAACATGTTGAGAGGCCCAGGGAGGCTCCTGATGTAAAGAAGGCCCATCTGGCTGCCATAGATGGGCTGAAAGGGGGCCTATGCTCTCATGGTATATGTTTGATGGGGTGATGCAGAGAAGAGACTGGGCCAGATGCTTATAGTCTTCGGCAGCAGACGTTTGTTGAGTGATGTTTGATTTGCCAGCTCTTGCACTCACTTGCACCTCCACCTCCTTTTCTTTTATTGTGTCCCATAGGTTCAGGCTATTCACAATGAGGCTGAGAAAGAGCGGGCAGAGGCTAAAAGGAAGATTGGCCAGCTTGAAGACAGTCTCAGGTAATGTCTGTCAATCCAAAATGGAAGACACCAACATTTACAGTATCTGTGTTTTGCCCTTCAAATCATTGAAGGCAAGCTCTTATTAATCAAGACAAATAAATATAAAATGATATCAATTCATTCCTTGTATTAAACAGTTGGGCATGCGATTACAAGCATTGCTTTATGAGCTAATGTAATGACGATGTAATGATGTAAAACGGATTAATCCCATTTGCAAAAACTTTGCTTTAAATGAGAGAGAAACAACATCCACACAGTCAGTGACAAAGTGTAGCCTTCACACGAAGTTCATTTTGATGCATTTCTACTGTAATAGATTAATAGAATGCATTATTTCAGTTGAAGTGAAAGGGCACAATAGAATGTGTTCACAATTAAACCCAGTGCAAACTCAGGCCTTTTAACTGAACCTGGTCCAACACACCAATAGTAACGTCACTATTATTGAAATAATTTTAGTATCTTCAACACTACAGCGATGTCATATATATTGCCTATATTAGTATATATGGTATTTTGAGGTATCTGGTAAAAGACTGATACAAAAGCGGGAAAAAGGCAACAATAACAATAGAAGGCTGTTTTGTGGAAATGTTTTGATCAAAAGCTGACATATTTGCATTTCTTCTTTGTACACGTCATTGTCAGCAAACACCAGAGGACGCGCGTTGCTTTGTTTGTGCATAAATTATGTGTGTTGTTAGTATCCGTAACGAGGCTGTCATTGCCTCATTTAGACTTAAACTTAGAGAAACGGCGAGTGGGCCATCAGTCTCGGAGCTAATTAAGGACTCGGGGTTGACTCCAAATTCTCCCTCACACTCACACTGTGTTACCTGCCTGCTGCCGTGGCAACACTGAAGGCCTTTAAAGGCTATGCAGCACAACTTCAAAGTCAAAGCCAGACCGCACGCAGGGGCTTGTGTGTGCGAGTGTGTGTTTGGATGTTCACTCCTCTGAAGATGGGAGGATGGATGATAAAATTAAACAAGAAGAACTGTTCAAAATGCCTTCCATGTGCCAAATACTGTGAGCCATGTGGGCTGTGCTATGATAAATGTTTTATCACTATGCGTTTCTGGAAAGGTTAAGGTTTTATTAATTATTTTGAATTAAATGTCTATCTTATTTAATGTTGGCCAATGACTGCATAGTCAAGAGCCAAACTCGTGTAGTGCCTGTAGGAAGTAATTCTATTGTAGGAGCTTAATGCCACAATCTCTCAAATTGAAGGGCCATTTTGCCAAATGTTGACAAATATATTTGTAGTATTTGTGATGGTGATTGGCACACAGAGTGATTCACTCTCAACCAGTATGTGCCATTGGCCTCTCTGACCTAGCCTGACTCTTACCAGACCCTTGTAGTTCACTGAGCTTCACACAAGGGTCTGGGTCTCCTTCATAGCAGATGAATAAAAATCCTTACAGCAAAGCACACAATTCAGCACATGACTCCTCGCTGCGTTGCAGGGTTGCCAAATGCCTGCAAGATTTTCCAGCCCAAAACCCACGAGAATAGCCACAAAAAAAACATGATATTTTTTAGCTACAAACGTTATGCAATCAACTTGGGCTATCATGATTCTATCATGATTCTGTTTATTGTCTATTTATTACCTGCAAGTCGCTTGGAAAAAAGTATGCGGGAAACCACCCAACCTGGCAACCCTGCTCCTGAATTAGTTTTCAATGCACTCGATCTCAGACCCCTGTGTTCAGCGAAATGACTCTGGTGGAGCATGGTGGAACTTCAAGGGTCTGGCGTGAGTCAGGCTACCTCTGACCACCACCAGCGTCCACACACACATCCCTGCAGGCCCTGCCCTGCACAGCTTCAGAGGTCTGACGGGATCCGGCATTCGCATACATGTATGGCCAGATAACTCTAAAAATTCAGACCTCAGAAATGGGACAAGAAACAGGTTATTAGGTTTTAGGTAGTGAACCAGATAATTGTTTGGGTCTAGGATATTTAATTTTTTGTAAGCTACTCCAGTTTGTATATTCCTCTTGGTCTATACTGGATACAAACTTTTCATACATTTCCAATACTAAAAGACTCCTTTTTCCTTTTACATAAATAATAACACTGCTGCTTCATTCACCTTTAGGGTTATGTTACTATAGCAACAACAATTAAAAGAGCTACAAAGCTATGCACAGAAAAAGTTTATTCTCCTTTTCTTCATCCACAAAATACTTCAGATCATTAGAGGACATTGGCATAGAGGTGTAGGGAGGCCGCACAAAGGGAGGAAAAACAAAGCCATTGAACTCACAACAATATGGAACAATGACCTAAAAATCCTAATTTCAATGTCACAACTAGTTTATGTGGAAAGTGACCAAAAAGGTGACTTGAGCGTATTAAAAGACAATACTACTTGTTTTTTTCTATATTATCATATTGTCACATTCATGACTTTCTGACTGAGATAGAATAAGTTCATTGTTGACATTTTGGCGGTTTTCAAAATGTTGTATAATTGAATTCTGAACTAGAACCTTGCTCTTCTACTCATACATTACTTGTACTTACAGATTATAATTTAATGAAGTTATTATTACAAAGGCTGATCTAAAGTTATGACCAAAAAAAGAGCGCAATAAACTAGTCACATATATTTTATTATTCTGTTACATTTTTTTTATTTTGAAAGTTGGGTTCCCCAGATTTAACATATAGAAAAGTGTTTATTGGAACAATTGTTAAATTCTTTGTTCCTTTCAGCTTGGATCTGCCTCCATTTCCTTGAAAGAGGGACATGAAAGCTATTTAGCATGTGCATCTATGTCTTTGAAGGGTCTTATCTCACAGACCATTCCTTCCATGAAATGCAGCAGGGATGAGGGAGGTGGTCCACAGCCGACTGCTCACTCCGGAGGAGCGGCAGGAGCAGGATCCAAACTCATGGCTCCAAAATGATTGAAGGCTGCAGTTTCTTGACTGGACAGAAAGACGTTCTCAAATATGGGTTAAGCTCAATAAGTCAAAGAGAAGAGAAAATGGGAATTTTGGGTCAGCACTCGATAAAAAAAAAGACTACGGTTGTCAAAGTATCAAATGAAATATCAATAAATACTATACAATTGATGCTATCAAAATACTAATTTGAGTATTGTTACACACAATTTACACAAAATAAATTTTTCAACTATATCAGAAAAACTATAAAACTGCAAATTCAGGGCAATAACTTACGCAAAAAAAAAATCCAGAACTAAAAACAGGGAAAAGACAATGGACTGACAACAAAAGGAGAGGGGCACATGGTATAAATACCCAGACACAGGTGAAATACATAAGAGTGGGGCAGGCCATCAACACAGGAACGTGTTATGTTTATTTATTTATATAGCGCATTTTACAGACCAAGGTCACCCAAAGCACTTTACAAATGTTCAGAGTTCAGATTTTTCCATTCACTCCACACGGTGATGATGGAAGCGAGCTGCTGAACACACTGGCGCATCAAAGCCTCCGACCAAACACCATCCAATCATCCACTCATTACATTCATACCTATTGTGCGTTTTTTTAGTGGTAGGGGAAACCAGAGCACACGGGGAGAACATGCAAACTCCACTCAGAAAGGCCCTGTTCCGACCGGGATTTGAACCCAGGACCTTCTTGCGGAGAAGCAAGAGTACTATCCGCTCAGACACCGTGCCGCCCAACATGGAAATAAACTCAAAAGGACACATGTAGGAGAAACTCAGGTGTACAGTAACAGCAAAAATTACAATTTAAATTGACCATTCTAAAAAGCTAACAATAGTAATAATAAGCAAGAGTCCTCCAGGTCACAGCAGTAGAGATGGCGTGGCCTCTGGGTAGAGCCCGGGTCACAGCAGCAGAAGTGGACCAGCAAAGGGTGGAGCAGGACAGGTCATAGCAGCACAGGTGGAGTTGTCGCTGGATGCAGCAGGACGGGTCACAGCAGCAGAGGTGGAACATCCGCTGAGTGGAGCAGGACCGGTCACAAGGTGGAGAAGCCTCTTGGTTCGGACATTTTCTCTGCTCTAGTCCAAAGTAAAAGGCTGGACTTCATTAGCATTTTTCAAAAAGTTAGCATTTCTACAGTGGATTTTCGCCTGATTCACTTGGTTCGGACCATGAATCTTCTCCGCTCTGGTCTGGACCAGTGGAAAACCATGAACACTGTACTGCAGTAACATCGCAGGTAGAAAAAAAGCAAGAAAAATAAATATTGTAATGCACAAAACAACTGTTTCAGAGCTACTTAGGACTTGCTAACGTTTCCAGCGCATTCAAAAGTAACATTAAAATCACATGAATTTATCTTTTTGCTGGCCGTGTTGTTGGGATTGTGAATTGTATTTTGTATGTCAGCTATGTCCTATTTTGATTATGACTGTCACATTTTCTAGAGAAGATCTCGAAGGTGGCTTTATTTTGCCTATTTCACAAGCTTTGTGTACAGTTTTTCCATATCTATCTCCGTCGTTGCATCCTTTAGTTTGATACCAACTTTCTTTGATTTAGTAGTTTTGAATTCTAATATTTATTGAATCTTTGTGATTTTAATGTATATTCGCCCATGTGCTGTCGCTTTCTTGTGTTATTTTTTGTGGTCTTTCTTATGATTTCTCTAGGGATGTGCGGATGAAAACCAAGCCGGTTTTATTTTTTCTTCAGAGGGGGTTGCATATTTCAGTTTTGCATTTTGTTCTCTTTTTATGTGCTCCCTCTTCTTTGGCGAGGCCCCTTTGATGTGTCTGTGGATTCGTTATCATTCCGTTTGGATGAGCTCACAGACGCAGGAGCGCGGGCGGAGCGTGCTCTGGCAACACACGCACACACATATACACACACGCACACACATCAACACACGCGCATACACAAGCACGTTCTACTTCTTTTCCAGAGGCATCCACATGTGAGCGTGCATGCTTGACTGTTTGCAAAGCTTTCCCATTGGCTGCTCCACCCACATCACAGCAAATACACTTCTAAATACTCTACTTACATGGATGGGATGAGCCTGTCTTTATAAGCTTTGCATTGACTTTGTTTTCATGAATTTTCTCAGTATAATAATGTGCAATGTGAAGGCGTGGAAGCCACCCCAGCATATTGTCTTTGAGAAGATATCACAACACTGGTTAAAGCTTAAGGTGCACTTTATTGATCCCCATAGCACTTTAGCCATCCTGGAAGGCCACTAGTGCAACCAATCAGGAGCAGTGGGTGCCACACTTGATACTTGATTTTACCTATTGTACATGTTTTAGTGGTATGTTAAACTGGAGCACCTGGAGGAAATCTATGCAGACATGGGGGGAACATGTAAACTTCACCCAGAAAAGCCCTTTCTGCCCAGGTTTCGAACCCAAGACCAAGCGAGAGTGCTAACTCTGCCACCATGGTCTATAGTACTTTTTCTTTAGCTTGATTCGTTACCATAAAGTCAAATAGATAAAATACTTTATTGTCACTAAGGTACAAAATAATGGTGGAAACTCACTGGTAGTGTCTGACATTTTTTAAAGAATATTGTCTATAACCTTTACAGACTTACTTTTCTATAATACCCTTTCCTGGTTTACAAAATCAAATGCAAAGCTCTCAAACAAATCTAGAACATTTTACTAAACTATTTAAAATGTAGCAACTTGTGTATTCTCTGTATTAAAGCCCTTTTCCCAATCATCTTTGCTTTTCCACTTATCAGAGCAAAACCAAAGCACTTTTCTCTTTTTGGAACTACTTTACAAGATTAGGAAGTTAGAAGACTTCCTCGTGAGTACAGCACATCTTTAATTTAAGCCTTCTTCTTTTCTGACCAGAGCTGTCTTTAAAGTCAGCCGGCCTCCCCCGTCGCTGGCACCATCACTCTGAGTTTGCTGTTCCCAAGCTTTCTCCCAGTCTGGCCCTGTGTCCTCTCATCATTGCATCGCCGCACTGTTATTGAAGTCTACCTCTGTGGCAGGCACACGATCACTCTATAGTTACAGTTTGAGTGTCCGCTGCTTCTATTTTACTGCATCTATGGAGTGGTTTGGAGACATAAAGCCACCGTTTATTTGCCAGTTGTAGTAGAATCCCACGCAAAAAAGTGTATTTAAAAAAAGAATCATGGAAAATGCACCACATGCCTAAAAATCAGTTGGAAACTCTCAAACATATTCCATTATTGTCATTCTCATATTTTTACATCTTCTTCCCTCACGTATTCTTTGTGCTTTTGAACCCAGAAAGCAGTCATGCAAAGGGATTGATTAATAATTACAGAGTACACAAAATTGGTAGAGAGAAAATGAAGTTAAAAAAAAACAATTTTTCTTTGTCGTTTGATGTCAGACATGAGAGAAACCAAAATTACAAAGGCGCAGAGCTGTAAAGAGAGAAGGAAGAATTTGTGCTGTCTTTCTTCTGCCCCTGTTCTGTTGTTGGGCCTTTTATGATTTTCTTTCAGTCCAATACTTTTCATCTCCCTGTTTTCTGTTTTTCCCTTTCAACGTCTTTATAAACATGTGTTTGTATTGTTGCAGTTATTATTTATTTGAATAGAGACTGGATTTCTTGACAATTCTGAAGCAAAAATATTCTCCTTTTGAGAATGGTTTGGAAAATGCTTGTAGAAAGTTGGGTTTATTGTTGTCGAACTATTTACTATTATGGAAATAAAAAGTGGACACGTTTCCTACGGACATGTTTCAAGCGGTAGAGTGAAATGTGTTTAAAGATTATCTGGTTAAAAAGGTGAGTGATTCAGCTGCAGCTTATAAATAAATGTACCTCTGCCCTATTCATTATTCGGCTTTTACTATAGTATAGCTCTAACCACAGAACTCGACACGATTAACTCAGTATCTCATTCTTGTTACATGCATAATTATGTTTAGAAGTGTGTGTTTATGGCAGAAACTTTCAAATTATAAGGTGGTACAAAAATACCAACTCTCTATGGCTGTCTTACCTCCAGCTCTGTCATTTCTCTCCCACACACAGTGGCTTAAGCCTGACAGCTGCTGCCTTGTGTAGTGGAGGATGTTATGGCTGGGCTCTGACAACTCTCAGTATGAGGCCATGCTGCACTAAGCCTGTCAATCCTCCTGCTCACTTTGTACATGACCAGGCATTCAGCAGCTCACACAGACCGGACCACTGGATTGGGCATCGGCAGGTTGTGGGCACGATGCTTTATTAATGGATCAGTTCCATTAATAAAATGTATTATTATTGTGTTTTCTGTCACACTATATGTTGTGACAGGCCCAAACATAGGCCGCATTCACAACAAAGTCGAGAATTCAGAAGTTGAGAACGAGTTCATGAACTTTTTTTATTTTGGAAAAACAACTGCTTGCTTTGATGCTTCACCTGCTGTGTGGACATGGACCAAAATCAGATGATTTTCCTTCTATCCTGATTATTTAATATCTTTGTCTAAATGTTGTTATTTTAGGGTGTTTTTTTCCTCTTTGTTTTTGTTTTTTCTTTTCACTCCACATTCCAGGCAAATTACAATACAGCATTCTTACTTGTTTTGTATTTAGTAAAGTAAAACATTATTTAGTTTTATATACTGTATGTCTTTGTGTTGCATTCAGGGACAGTGAAAGGGAACTGGAGAAGACCAGAGCAAGCCAGAGACAGCAGATGCAGCAGGCAGACAAGGCACTTGAGCATTTTAAGAAGCAAGTGGAAATCAGCTCTGAGAAGGCGTATGCTGACATGAAACTGCAGGTATGGTGGACAAACCTGGAGGTATCTTTTGGAACATTCAGACTTATTCATCACCCTGATGGTGGTGATCAGAGTCTGCTGCAGTCAAAGCTTCCCTGGGGTAGATTGATGGAAGCAAAGCAGTCAGTCTGCGCCATCACTGATTCCAACCAATAATGATAATAATACATTTTATTTATATTGCATAGAAACCTCAAGGTGCTATATTACTCATTCATCGCATTCATACATATGCAAGATGGTCGTTGTATGTGTTGCTGCTGGCATGGATCAAACCTCCCATCTATGTTTGAGTTAAAGGCAGAAAAGAACTATGTAACCACTGCGCTATTTCAGCACTAAAAGCTGTGTTGCCAGCACACATGGTTCATTTTCTCCTGTTATTCTCTCATGTTATTCAGGTGCTGGCATTTCAGTAGTCTGGAGTGAACCAGTTGGATTTCACTAAAGAACTCAAATGACTAATGTTACGCTGATTCATCTTTCTCATTGAATAAACACCTTAAAAACGTATTATCAAATGTTATGTTGGCCATATATTGGCTATTTTCTCACATTTTGACCAGAAAAGGCTATATTTAGGCATGTCTAACTGTATGTACAGTATATGTAAATCATCATACAGTTCATTTGAACAATTATTCTGCATGCTAATTGGCACCGCCTTACTGTAGATTTCCCAAGGCCAGTTATTGCTGAATATTTTTACCCACTGTAAATATTATGAATACGTTGTTCCTTACACATTTAAACTTAATATGCTGTCACTAATGAATGACTTAGAGTAAATACACCTCTTCATCTTCACACTTGACCTCACTTTCTCTCAAGGGGCTCAACACGAGCTTGTTTGGAGCTGTGGGTTACTGCAGAGAATGGGCTGTGCACACTAATTACCTTCTCTAATTAGGACATTAGGCCGCCTTCCTCTCTGCGTGGGCCGCCTCTGATTGAGTGTCTCCAATCAATACCTCAGTGAACTCATGCAGATATTTTACTCGTGAGTTTGCCGAGAGCTGTTCTTGTTCAGCAGTTTGGGTTATACGGTGTGTGAGAGCATTAACAGGCTAACGCAAAGTGTGGTCCGAATATATTTAAGAGAAGCCTTCGGTGTGTGTGATAGGATTCCTATTTCTTTTATTTCCATAATTGGTGTGTAAAGCGAAAACAAGACAGTTATAATATATGTGTGTGTGTGTGTGTGTGTATATAAAGAATATTATTATTATCTAATTTGCTTAGTTTGAAAACTTTTCTGTTAGCGACAATTCACATCATGATTCACTGTTCTAACTTGTTTTATTTAATTCCATAAAAGGAACATCCATGGTTTTTCCAATTTATCAAATAACATTTACGGAACTTTAGGGATAGATTTAGCTTACTACTGTACATATCTTTGGATTGGATTGAAATATTGTTCTTGTTGCTCGTTTCAAGCTCACTCTTGAGGTGTGAATATAGAGCTGCATGTCTAAGCTACCATTGACAAAAATGTCCATACAATCCAGTCTAATCTGTATCTTAGCCTATAGCCTATACATACAAGAACATGTAATCGACCTCTTTGTCAATACGCCCGGTCTCCTGGGTGAACGTGGGCTTTAGCACTCTCTCTGCTCTCCTCATGCAGCGCCACAGGTTTTTCAATTGCAAGTTATATCTTCTTTTTGAGTACGGAAAACGTCTGTATTTTCTCCGTCTGCAATCCTCCAACTCCTTTCCCGTTCTCATCCCTCTATCCCAGCTCCCTTCTTCTCTCCCCATTGAGCCGCTGGCATCCCAATCTCCAATCTGACTTTATCCCCAGCCCACATCAAAGCCACGACAGAGAGGAGTTCTGCCTTGCTGTCGTCCTCTCTCCCTCCTCTGCTCCCCGCGTCACGTTCTCCACTAAGGCTTTAATGTTGCAACAAAGTACTTCAAAGTTTATCCTCCCATCACACTCTTTCTACACACTGTTATATCTAAATGGATTAGCCACATCACTTTTTCTCTCATTGAAAAATCATCATCTGACAATTTGCGCACGTATAAAAAAAACGATCCTTTTGGTGCTTAAAAATATGCGCACATTCATAGTTCAAGTAATTTATTTATACATGCTTTTAGTGTTGCGCACTGCAAAAAAAACTAGCTGCTTCAACAAATATTTCACTTACATGGAGTAAAATATTAATTAGTTTCAGGCAATATACTGTAGATGGATAGATAGCAGCCCGTCAATAGGCTACACCGGGTGCACATAATATTACCATAATTAAAATCCAATTCTATATTTTACAGGCCCTCACAAAACCTCACTTTTCAAAGCAAACCATTTATGATCTCTAAAAATATCAGTTATAAAAATATAAAAATAGCAGTTTGAATTTGTAGTCTTTGCATATTTTGTGATCAGCTCGACAACACTCAATCTTCCATATTTTATACATGCTTTTATGAACGTCAATATTGCACTTTGATTAATACTATAGCATGCGATGTGTTTGCAGTCTTTCTTCCTCGTAGCTCTTCCATAATTCAAAATCAAAAAGGGGAAATCTTCTATCAGTCAGCAGCAGTGGGCTCACATCCCTTGGTGTTAATTGGTGTTGCTTTGCTATGAAAGGCTTATTGTGCGTCTATGATTATCTCCTTATACACCGCTCCGATGTTTGTATCGCAAAATGAATGTATTGGTTTGTGTTGTGGTTATTTCCCTGCGGTAGAAATGAAGTATACCTTAACCTTCCGACTAGGGCTGGGTATCTTCACCTCATCCCAATACGTGTCTAGATATAGCTGACACAATACTATACGTTTACTTACAGGGGACTTTTAATTCAATACGATTCGATATTATGATATTTGTAAACTACACAATACAATTGAATGAAAAACACACATGCATTTATATTCTATTGTTATTAATTACAAAATATCAATAACAACATTTATTATTGATTCTTTTGTTGAATATGAAAAAGAAAACATCCATATTGTATCTTAAAAATCCAAATCTTTTCATAGCCAAACATTTATTATTATTTTAGAACACCCCTGCTAATAACAGAATGAATGTATTGGTTTGTGTAGAGCTTATTCTCCTTCAGGGACGCACAAGTATACCTTCCACCTGGCATGTCAAATTCAGGCCCACAAGACCAATTTTAGTGGCCTCTGAAATTATTTTTTAATTATCATTATTACATTAACTTGAAGCATTGTATGGAAGTCTACTATGGCATGTTATACTTAATTTTAATAAGTGTACCATCAGGAAAAAAACAATATCATTGAATCCGTCCTAAAATGTAATGTTATTAGGAGTTAAGTTAGTGATCAGTCTGCAAATACTGTACATCTCTTCTCAATATTTGGCCTAGTTGTGAATCCAAATCTACCAGAAAAATAATGTACAAACTCATGTCGAATAATACTTTGGGCCCCACCTAGCTTTTATGTTTTTAAATCTGGCCCCCGACCAAAAGGAGTTTGACACAGCTGCCCTAACCTAATGACTGATGAACGTATTGGTTTGTGTTGTATTCACAGATGGAAAAGGTAGAGGAAGACCTGGAGCGCTCCAAGTCCCTGAGAGAAAACCAGGCGAAAGAGTTTTCTCAACAACTCGATTCTCTACGCCACAAATATGAACACCAGGTCAGTAAGACGAGTTTGGGTTATGTTTTTTAAATGCTGTAATGATTTGACTACAATATTAACTAGATTATATTCTAGTCCTACATCCTACATATTTCACACCCCAAACCATGACATGATTGATTTCTGCACAACAACCTCGGCATTAAGCAGCGTGGCAACACACTACACCATACCTGATGACTTCCTCTGCATGAACATTTTTTACAATCAGTAGTTCAAAGTTTTCATTTCATTACATATAACACAATTAGTTTCTTGATTTTATTTGGTCCATGGAGGCAAATTGATTCATTTATCGCATGTAGAATATTTTATTAGAAAATACTGGAAGGCGACAGACATTCTAGAGCCATACTGATTAGTGACAGCATAAATATACATCTTTGTTTGAATAGTACAAAAGTCTTCAAAGAGATGAGTGGAGTGATAATAATGTTTTTTATGAGGCGTGGGGGATGCGTTTGACAGATAAATCCAGCTGCATACTTTTAAAGTCACATCAGAAAAGCTTTTGTCTTGAGATAAAAAACCCTAAGGAGATGAAGGCTTTCCTTGTTTTTATATTTGTCGCTATGGTTGACATGAGCTCTGCATATGTCAACTATGGGAAAAAAGCTCTAAAATTAACATATTTATTATTCATTTTTGTGTATGCTGTGCAGATGTTTTCATTACAATGTACTGTATATTGTTACAGGAGACGTAGTTCTTGATTTATCTTAAACCATGCAATTGTTTTGAAATATTTAACAGTAATAATGTAGTCAATGGAAAACATAGTCTGAGCACATTATTTACAAAAACATAACTTATGTAAAAAAAAAATGTTTATCTCAGGCATGCAACCTCCCTGCGTCTCACCTCTTCTCCCCCCCCCCTTGCATCTTATGAACTATCAAATTATACAACTATTTTTCCTAGTTTAAGTGTGACACATAAAGCAAAATCCATCTTGCCTAGACCTACAGTACTGTATGCATATAAGAAGATGCATTTGTAAAGCATGATTCATAAAATTACATGCCCCTCTTTAGTCTTTTGTTTGGTCTGAAATGCAGTCAATGTTTGAGCACACGTAATGTTATTAGGTATAATATTCCATTTACAGGGAGCATAGTGAGAGAAATCTGATTCTCCTAACTTTCAATTATACATGCAAAACAATGAGAAGTTTGAGCTCGGAAAAAGAATCTCCGGTCTTATCTGAGACACAGGTTCATAAGGCACAAATTCTAAATTTTGCCTTGCCGTCCAGCCCAGTCAGATCTTTTAGGTGACTGACCAATATTATTATATATTCCATCATGGACTTTAACATACCTTTTAAAATTGTGTTTTCTTTCTTTTTTGTGGCGTCTCAGCCTCCCTTCCTAAATCATACTATCTCCCCTGCTGAGACCAGGCAGCCATTCCATCCTATTCTGGTTGTTTTTTGCTTCACAAACTCCGATTTACCCCCCGGAGCTGATGGAGCCCATTACCTCACTGTCCCATCACAAAGCCTTCAAAACACATCTCATGCTCTTCCTTGTGAGCCGCCACTGACAGGAGTCGTGCTGTGCAGAACACCCGGCCCACTCTGTATCTATGGCACCAAGCTGTGCTCTAACCAAATCACTCTTCCCTCATCAGTGCCATGCTGGTCCCTTTAAGAAGAGCATCACCCAGCATCCTCCACTGCACTGCTGATGTCACAGTCGGCTCCTTGCTGGGTCTGTTCACTATTGTTTCCTCTTCGTTTTTTGCAGTTTTTCCTCACAGCAGACCTTTCATAACCATTTTTCACCCTCATCTCAACCCAGATGCTCTTGTTTTTTTAGACTCAATGGCCATATCCAAGAGAGGTAAACAGTCAGCGCGACTGCTCTTTCGGAGTTAGTGATGTCGAATGTCCTGCTGTGGAGTTCTCGAATCCAGCTTAGCATCCTATCCGCTTTCACTCATGCTGCTATATGAAAAGACTTGCCCAATGGGACTCACAAATCTTCACTATGGCTGCCATTTGTTGCATATTTGACCTAAATTGGAAATGGAAAACTGTTATTTATGTGGAATATACTGTAAATTATACGTGTGATCAAATGTGTATTTTACGATCAGGTTTCTGTTGTGATGCATAGCTGAGCAGTGAGAGGCTTTAGTCCATAGTGGACATGGTGTGTCTGGATGTCTGCTCCTAAGACAGGCCAGGTAGGGTGCCGTCAAGCACAATGTGCACCGGATTAGACTGAAAGCAGAGCCTGGGCCTCAGGCTCCTGCTGTCCTTTCACGGCTCTGACTGGGGCTTCTCTGCAGGATGGGCTGAGGGTCACTGTTGCCCCCACCATGTGGTGACTGAGAACAGGACACGGCTGAAGACAGAGCCTGGGAAAAGCTTGGGCTGGGTAATGGACGCTCTACTGGTAAAGCTTACCTCTCAGCAGGTGCTCTGAGCCACAGTTGTGCCGCTCGGCACACTGGTTTCTGTTTTTATACAGAAATTATATTGTTAGATTATATGATTGGATCAACTTTTACAGTTTGCATAGTTTATGTAACCGTGACATGATGTGCTTCATGGATTCTCTACATTATGTTTTGGATCTCTAAGCCTATTTGCTCATAGTGTCAGACGCTTAGCATGGGGCACTGGGTGGCTACTGATGCCAGATGGCTAACCCCTACCAGCTCAGTTGTATAGTCCAAACTTGTTGGTCTTTGAACAGCGATTGCAGAATAGAAGTTTTGAAGAGCGTGGGGGGTGAGATTATGGGCCTGTCGTTTTTATTGGCGGAAAAGGTAGAAGGGCGGAGGCGCCACAGAGAGGTAAACACGTACTGCACGCTCGCTCAAAGCAGACAAACTTTTCTGTTTCTCACCATGGTACCAATTGTACTCCCCCGGGTTACGGACATGGTCGGACCGCACAAAGAAAATATGGGCACGTAGTCATGACGACAGGTTAGCTCTCAATGTGTGTTGGCTGATGAAGTCGTTTTTTCATGCTTGTCCAATCAGATGGCTGAGCTCTGCATGCAGCACGAGCAAGAGAGGACGCGGCTCCAACAAGCGCACATCACCGAAAAGGACGGCATGGTCCAAGAGCATCAGCGCGAGGTCGGCAGTCTGGAACGCCAGGCCAGGGCCACCCTTCAGCAGCACCAGCAGCTCACACAGGAGTGGAGGAAGCGCGATGCCCAGGTAGGGGGTCTCTTCTCATCTTCATTCTCACATGCGGTTCTGCTGACCTGCCGCGGTCACGCATACAACTACTGGTACATTTCTGAGTTTTCAAAGGCACAGCAGGCTCACGCTTCATCAAATGAACCACTATGGAGTTATTATCATGGAACGTCAAAAAAAATGTGCGACTTGTGGTGAACTTCATGACGTCTATTCTTTTATATTGTAAATATTGTATCATAATAGTGTATTTTTTGCGATCTTCAGAATCCGCTGGTGCTCCGATACAGAGCGCAATCTTTTGCCCGCCGCCCGCTTTATTCAGGAAACGCTACAGCGAAAATCTTTTAGCTAAACGATTGTAAAATGGCGTAACAATACAATGAATTGAGATATATTTCCGCAGATATGAATCTCGTACTTACATTCAGACTACGAGTACACACGTCTTCAGCTTTCTTACTTAGACCTTTATGACTTTATGGTGCGCAAACTGCACAAGTTTCATGAGCCTGCTCAGCCTCTGGTCACACCTGGGTTAGCATGGAGCACTGTGGGAAGCCATTTGTGAATCTGCAGGACTGGTTCCACTCCAAACAGGGGAAAATGGACAATGTCAGATTTTGAAACAGTTTTAATTTACAACTCCAATAGAATAATGTATTATGACAATACTTCAATAATCTTCTGAGGTCGTATTGGAAGAAAATAATCAACATGGCCATCTCTTTCCACTGAAAGAGTTAAAGCAAATTAAGCGCAATATTTTTTGTCAATGACCGGTGTTGAAACATACTGGTCACTTTTATCTTGCTTTTCTTTTCATGTATTTACATATTTATTGTTTATAGAGACTTATGTGTCACAAAAGTTTAAACCAAACTTCTACTAGTTTCTTTTTCTATATCCCTTGAAATATTCTGCACAGATTTTTCCTAGTATTTTAGTAGTGTATTTTTATTCTCTTACACATATATGCAGCACTATGCTCACACCTGGCACCTGGTTTGTGGAGTTTTTGATGTCACGTATTAAATGACAATTTCCATACAATCTTACTGTACAGGCCTCTCATTCCAACAGGCCAAAAGACTGATGTCCTCCTCTGTTTAATAACAAGGAGGATATGGTGATACACATAAAACAATGTTCTTGGGTTTGTTCCATTTTTTCTGAGTTGGGCTTGATTAAATTTAATGTAATTAACAGTATTTTTGCTCCCAGCCTTTACGATACCACAAACACATCAGACACATCACAGGAACATACACAAATATATCTTTGTCGCCTTGTTCTACAACATTATACAAATTACACATCAATTGCTCAAAAAACTAAACAAAAACAATAGATACTGAACTGTGTAACGTAGCAGTCAAGATAGTTCTTCTTTCAAAGCCTCACAGAAAACTTCCTGTGTGGAGGTGTAGAGGTGTAACGTGGCTGGCTTGAGAAGCATGTTTGCCTGCAGCTGTTTTGTGCTGTTGTTGTTTTTGGCTGATCAATGCCCCCTTGAGGAAAAGGGAGTTTTCTATTTTATTTTGGGGCTCTTGCCTATACTCTCTTGTGTCTCTTGTTTCCAAAGATCATCAATGTATATTTAGTTAGTGGTTAGTGGGTGTCTATTCAATATAGTTTTGTATTTAGAAACCTTGCGGCAATTACATTTTCCTGCAATTAAACCACCTGAGAGAGGTTTTTGATAAGGGCTAAAGTAACCATTAGAACTCGACAATACATTTTTTATATTGAAAACTCAACTTGGGAAATGTTAACATGGACAATTTTGCTATCATGGTCATGACGAAACAGTCATTAAGAATAAATTGACATTAAAACTGTAGACACTCACATCAAGACTGTGTTTGGCATGGTCATGTTTATACGTAATAAAAAGTATAAGAATGATTTAAAGTCAAAATCTTGCATATGGTTCCTTTAAGCATTTCAACAGCTTTCCTGCCCTACCTTAAAACTCATTTCATGGCTGTTATTTTTTTGAATAATTATGTCTATTTGTGAACTAAAAACACACCCCATCTGGACTTCAAACAGCATGAGAGAGCGAGAGATTCCAGTGAACTCTTTTCTTCTTTCCTGTGATGGGCTAAATAATGATGCCGTCAGATTTTTTTCAAAGCACTTCAATCGCTTCAGTGTAATCCCAATGACTCAAATGAAGCAGCTTCAGACAGTCTATGTCCAAGTCAAAAAACATGAAGAAAACATGCAGACAGCTTTAAACCATGAATAGTGATTATTGCCATTTCTTTCATCCAGCCGATATTGTCCAGTGCATTTGGTTTATGTCTGTGTTTTATGTATTGTGAAGTAGAGATGATATAGATTTAAAAACAGACGGTTACACTCTACTATCAAATATCATTCTCATAACATATGTCTTTGTTTTATTCTTCGAGAAATTGAAAGTTATGCTTCATTTTGCACATGTGTAAGCAAATATTAATTTTGTATTCTAATTACATATGTTTGGCATTTGTTTTCACATATATGGGGTAAACATCTTATATTGATATTGCTGATGATAATTTGAAAATGCATTTATTCCTATTTATAAACTAAATGTTGACTGGTGGCGTGTTTTCTGATTGATGATCCAATCTGAAGTCAGAATAAGCCTCACATGAGTCTCATTTGTAGTTTGTAGTTGTAATTGAAAACATCTTGACTCACTATTCATATTAGTTTGATATACTTCTCACATTATTTATCATAAATCAGAAACCCGAGCACCCCAACACATACGTCAGGAATAATGCAGTAACATATTTGATATCGGATCGTTTTTATCCTTAAAGGGACACGGCACAACTCTTATAGGGCATTTGTCCACCATCGATTTGTGTTCATCTAAATGTTGTTGTTTTGAGTATGGAAATAAACATATTCATCTACATCAGAAACAAGTGAGAGACACAGTATCGACCCAATGGAGTCTAGGTTTTTGAGCAGCAAATACATCTGTTGAATGTGCATGTTTTGTACCATACTGAGGACCAAGCAAAGCAATACAGTATGATCTCCATGGCAACAAGTGGTTAGCCAAGTTACGCAGTGCACTTTTAAGCTTATCCTACTCTTTTTGCTTCCTCATACTTTTGGCTCTCATCACATTGCAAACACATAAGACTCAACTGTGCTCATTCTCCCCACTCTCCCCTCTCTGTTTTGGCCTCTATAATCTTCCAAAGTGTCACCGCCAGTGCCTCTGTTCTGGCAGATTACCCACTGACTTATTAAAAGATTTTTCTGGCAGAGAGATCTTGCACATTTGTTGAAGAGAGAATTATACATTAAAGACTTCTCTCTGATCTAATAGCTGCTTGCCCTTGAAGGCACAAGTGGGGCAGACTGTAAAATAACGGGCGCATTTGCTTTTTGTTTCCCTGCATGTCATTGTAGTCATGTGACCGCAGCATCATGCGTGACTATGCATGTCAACGCCCTGGCACATCCAGCCCTCCGTGTGCCAATGGGCAGGGGCTGAGAGGAGAGACGTGCAAGCATCTGCCTGTTTTTTTTTGTGACAATGCTTTGAAGTCTCTTTGATTCTCCCCAGTGCCTGCTAAAAAAGACTTCAGACACTTTCCCTTCTGATTGCCTTAACATGGCGTTGTCCTGGGATGCCCGGACTTTTAGGGAGAGGAGGGGATGTGGGGTGTGAGCCGTGCAAACTCGAGTAAGAAATAAATGCAGTAAACCAAGCGGCGTAAATGAGGATGTGCAATAGCTGAGGAATTTGTGCAATAAAGCGGAGGGAGGATGAAACCGGGAAGCCCGGATGTGCTGCTGGTACTGAAAATGTTTCATGTGTTTTACTTTTAACCAAATTCATTATGTTGATTATCAAAATAGACCAACGTTGTTGAGTCACGTTTGACAACTCTTTCACCAATAAAAACTGCACCCCAAAATATAAAACTTAATGTCTTCTTTTAAGGAATTGTAGTTTGTAATAAATGATGGTTTTGACACTTCCTTTTTGTGTTGTTCCAGGTGATTTCAGATTTGGAAACTCAGGTGACCCGTCTCCGGGAAGAACTCCAAATAGGAAACTTTGAGCACAAGCAACAGGTGGCGGGGATGGCTTTGCAGCTGGATGAGGACAAACAAAAAGCTTCAGCAGACAAGGAGGAGGCTCTGGACCAGCTTCGGTCTGAGATGGGGCGCCGCCACAAAGATCTGGAAAAGAAACTTCAGAGAGAGCACGAGGCCGCGTTGGGGAAGGTGGGTTTAATACTGTTTTTTGATAGGTTCTCTCTCATCTTTTGTTATTTTTTATTGTCTGCTTTACGGTGTCTGTCATTTGGTACAATTTTAAGAACCCACTCGAACACAGGGCTTATCCTCCAATTAATCCTCCAACTAATTATTATTAGCTGCAGAAATGGTTTATTGTGCCTGATGCTACATTAACTGTTGTAACTGAATTCAGTCATAATTCCCTTTAGATGATTACCTCAAAACTTTAAAATACGTATTTTAAGTTATTTATATAATTTTTATTTTTTATTTATATTATTGAACCCCTGTTTTTATGTAAAACGGTTAAATGTTCAGCATAGGACAGTCTGCTTAGTTCCACCGTGTAAACATATTATACTGTAACCACTTATGTCACTTTTGTCCATGTTTATTCAGAAGTTTTTTTTTTTTCATTCACGCACACAAAGCTGTATTCTGTACATTTCTGAGTTATTACTATCCTTAAATGCAAGAAGCCATTACTCTTTCTCTCCGCAGTCCTCAAATCTTTGTCAATTTCCTTTTTTGATGCTCTGATAAGGGGAGGATTCACACACCACACATTCACACTGAAGATAACAAATATTGTCGCATCATGCTAAATGTTTTTAACTCAGTATTGGCATTATATACTAAATATTTGATAACAAGTCTCTGGCGTCATAGATAATCATATATTCACAGAAATGTGTTCTTTCCCCTATAAGCACACACATGTAATATATTATAGGTGCTCCTGCAGCGCTGATGCACTCAAGTTTAGAGATCAAAGACAACTCAAATGAGAGAATCATGTGATGCTAATTCTGCTCTCTGATTGGATAATCATCTGGAGAACCACAATATTAAATGTTAAAATAAATAATGTGGACATTGCATCCATTGTATTTTTTTAAAATTAAGAATAAATCCACATTCATATTTGTATCAGAAGAGGCTAAATGACGACACAAGGTTGTCCAGGTTTAGTTTTAATGAGGGATCAATGTTTTAACACGTCTTCAACAGGAGTCATGGCAGAACACTTATTTTCAGTATATTTATTAAGTCTAGTTCATGTCTAATTTAGACATTGCTGCACTTGATAATGACAAATGCTCCTAAGCACGTTTTCAGTCATACATTGTTTTGGTTCTCAATTAATTGTAAACTTCTCTTTATTAGAGATGTCCAGATCCATTATTGGTATTGATATTGGCACTGATACAGGGATCACATTCAGTTGTGTACCGGTTGGATGCCACTCTTTTCTCTTGGTTCACAGCAGCAGTGTAGTTCAGTCCAGTCCAGCGTTTGATTTTATCTTTCCACATTAATTATGATCTTGCTCTGCTTCTGTGCTGCAATCCTCTTTCTAGGAGGACTCTTTGCAAACCATTTCAGCGAATTTCAACGTGACCAAAATACTTTAGTTTTCTCTTCTGAATGTTCTTGGAGAGCCCTCTGACTCCTTATTACTCAGTTTGTCCATTCATGTCGTTTTAAGCTGCCAGATAATTCATCACTTTGCATGTTTCTGATCCATTCATTGACAATTAATAACAGTTTAGGTTCAGATTTTTTTTTGGCAGTTTATTAGACATATTAGACATTTTATAGGAGGCAGCTTGAGCTAATGAAATCATCCTTTTTTCTTTACCACAGTTTATGACCTAATTAAATAGACGTTTTCCATTTCTACTTTGTATGTGTATCTTAAGGCTTAGTTTTTCATCATTCTTACTGATAACCATAAAGCAGCTAAAACAGGTTTGATGACACTGCGATACCTGTGTAATGTTCGAAGGGAGCCCTAAAAGCAGAGCTGCACAAGTTTGTTTACATATTTAGGTCGGTTCTGTTTCTTGCCGTTTCACAGGCCTTAAAAAACGGCCCGTGTAAAGGTGAAAATACTCAACCTTTAGAAACCAATGTACGTCTCTGTTGAAGAGAATAAATGCTATAATGCTCAGCAAATTTTGTATGTTATTGTATAAAATTATTTAATCTTGGTCATAATTTAACTCGAATGGGAATAATTGCATACATAATTAAATAAGAATATGTATTTTTAGATAAAACCCAACAATAATATAGATAATTTATTGAATAGATATTTGTACTGGAATGATATCAGGAAGTACTCAGTCGGGAATGTCCCTCTTGGTTTGTAAGAATGTCCTTCAGCGGCAACAACTAATCGATTAATTGAATGAATAATCACCATGTAAATTAGTAATTAGTAGTGGAAATAAACTTTAGTTAGAGCCCTAATCTGAACACCTGACTGCAGTAACAGGGAAATTGCTCATAACTGCTCTGGAAACGGATCTAAGCTGCTGCTAATCACAATCTGATCTCCGGGTCGGACCCATCAAAGAGAGTCTTTTTCATTAGACACCATCTTTAGCAGCTGTGCAGCATTAGCCCGGAATTTAGGACCTTTCAAAGCGCCATTTTGACTCCATCTGGTCCACAGGTCCTGACCATATAAAAGAATAGAAAAAGTGTGCATTTTGGGTTGGTTGTTGTTGAATGAATCATATCTTTCTTGGGAACTTGCATAGTGACAGATTAAAAGTTATTTTTTGGCACATATTGATCCAGTTTCCAAAATGTTGCAGAAGTCCAAATGTAGATGTAAAATTATTGCACTACTATTACTTTTTTTCTTTGCAGAAGTTGTATGTTGCATGTTTCTGCTTTCCTACTTTTTAATCTAAACTCTAAAGTTTGACTCCAAAGCGGCCAAGAAGTTACATCTGCTGGTCTCTTCCCATTTATTTCACAGTGAAGTTTGTCAGGACATTGACTTGTTTGTGTGTGGAAATTTCTCATTCTTTTGATGCAGACAGAAATGCTGTCCTCTGCAGACCACTGTGGTCTCTGAGGCTGCGTTTGGGCAGGGCAGCATTTCCTTTTTTGCTTCACACATCTCCCAGAAAGATCCCACCAAAAGGGCTGCAGAAATCCATTAAATCCATGAATGGGGTCTCATCAAACACACGGAGGAATGGGGGTGTTTTTTTTGGAACTAGGACCGTTTGACTTAAATAATAAGGAACAGAAAATTGGTAGCGATAAGATGAGTCACAGAGATAGTTCTATATGTCTGAACTGCTACAGAAATGAAAGAAGTAGTACAGATAAAGGGAGACTTAAAAGTATGTTGCTGTGGTCTGCTGCACATTTATCTTTAAGCGAGTCTGTGTGCTGAAAATGAGCACGCCCCTCCCTGCCTGTGTGCTCCTGTGGGCTGTGAGGTGGTCATCGCTGGGAGACATTTTAACAGGCTTTGTGCTCATATCTATGCTCCTCCACACCTCAAAAGTCAATCACTCTTCTATCTGTTGCAGCAAAACTGTTTAGAGAAATCAAATAAATTGCCAGGAAGAGAAAAAAGATCACTCTTTCTCTTTCTAATGAAACTGTGCTTTATTTACCTTTAAATACCTATGCTGCTGTATGCTTTTGAACAGCACAACCCTGACCAAAATAATCACATGAAAATGAAAGCTATCTTCCATCTTAAATTTCACTATCTACAAAAATCGTCCAGCACCATTTTGCAAAAAAAAGTGTTTTTTTGGTTTCTTGTCAATTGTCTGTCACTTGCAATATGTTATTGTTTTGAATTAATATATTTGCCTACAAACTAAATGCAGATGCATGATAGACATTCATAGCACCCAATAAACTGGAATGGAAATCATAAACCACACCTTTCCTTTGAAAAGTGGATCACTCTAAGACTAAACATTCACAATTTAATTTAAATTGTTTGCACAGAATTAAATAAGAATAATTATACATACAACTTTTACAGCTCTTTTTTGGACACTCAAAGACGCTTTACAAAATATATATATTTTTTAAAAATCCATCCATTTTCTTCCCCTTAAATCATTTCTGGGTCAGGGGGGTAGCAGTGAGAGCTGCACCCAGTACACAGAGCACCAGCCCCTCACTGATCCTCCTGCAGGTGGTGAGTCCACAGGAGCCTTGATCTTTCAGCGGGTTCTTCAGGCAAAGTGGGGTTTAGTGTCTTGCCCAAGGACACAACGTCAGCAGTGCTCAGTGGGAGTCATGAAGTAGGACTTATGGTGGGCTTGAGCCCACAACCTTCAGGCTCAAAGGCCAATGCTCTACCAACGGAGCCACTGTCGCCAAGAACAAAATTAAGGACAGGCAACCTGAAAGTAGTTTTAAAGTTCTGTAGTGAGTCGACGGGTTGTGGGAGTGAGTTCCAGAGAGTGGGGGTGGCGAAGGCTCGGTCCATTGTAAACAAGGTGCATTGTAAATACGTTTTCAGTTAAACATTTCGCACCTGTTTTTGTTTTATCTTCACCTAAATAAAAGATAAGTGGGTTTATTATGTGCCAGAATCCATCTGAAGTTGCTCAAGTATATCTTTGCTCTCTCTCAGAAAAGAGAGAGAAAAGAGCTCTCACCTTGTTTGCCCTCCATGCCTGAGAGTCACTTGCTTCATGCTTGTAAATACCTCAGATCTTTGATAATTTTACACAAAAGATCACAAGGGCCAAAGTCGTGTGTTGGAACAAGAAGTCTGAACCTTGAATTAGTACTACCTTTTGTCTGAATTGTACATCTCATTGAACCGCTGCATTTCTCATCACTAAGAATGCGGCTGAGTGCCCACAGAACTTGTGGTTCAGATTAGCTGGTGTGAACGTTGACCGCACAGCATGCTTATGGTTCTTGATGCAAGTTGTGGAGCAGGAATGTGCCGCCCTGCATGACTTCAGATCAAAGAGAATTTCATCAAACCCCAACCAAGTGTGACCAAGGGCCCCAAAGGCAAACATCCAACCAGGAAGTGACTTTTTGGCATGCAGCTACGACTCACCTGTGCCCCTCGGCCGCATCAGGGGCAGATGTTATGACTCGTATTATCATAACTTTTACGGCATATATGTGTCATAAATAAACAATTGCACAGCGGGAAAATTTCTTGTTGAAGGAGATCCTTGTTAATTAGTGAT